TTTCATTATTACTCAATCGGCCCATGATATTAGAAAAAAGCTCAAACGAGCTGAAGAGGGCCTTCAGTCCCCTATCTGAGATCTGTAAAGATGGCCTTTAAAGTTTATCATGTCCGGAAGGAGTCAGCTGAACTAGCCAAGTAGGCTCCATTGCAGAAAAAGGTAACACTCCAAACCCAGGCCTTGGCAGCGACCCTGAGGCCTATGGCTCAAGCAAGAGCTCCACAGGGGACCCAGCATTCCTCTCCACCAGGGGGGCTTGCTTCAAATGTGGATGCGAAGGTCACTGGGCTCGCTAATACCTAAACCCAAGGCCTCTTTCCAGGCCACGCCTCACTTGTTAGTAGACAGGACATTGGAAGAGTGACTGCCCCATGGCTGGCCCTTCCTTGGTGCCTCCATGTGGGGGTATGACCAGCCAGGCAGTCCCTTCTCTTGAACTATTGGGGCTCACAGAAGACTGAAGAAGCCCGACTCAAGGACCCCCATCACCCTCACCAAGCCCAAGTTAATGCTCCAGGTAGCGGGTATCCATAAATTTCCTGTGGACACGGGAGCTACCTATTCTGTCTTGTTCACCCACTCTGGGCCTCTGTTTCATTCCCAGGTCTCAGTTATGGAGATTGACGGCAAACCCTCCTCCCCAAACCGAACTACTAAGCTGGCCTGTACCCTTTCACACACTCTTTTCTGGTCGTTCCATCCTATCCGGTTCCTCTCCTAGGCAGAGATGTTCTCCAATTACTAGGAGCCACCCTCCAACTACACCCCAAGAATACTACTATCTATCTCTTTCTGTCTCTAATCCTTACCCTCTCTAAAAACCTGACAGTACCTACTGTCCCATTGCCCCCTGACCTAGTTGATCCCCAGGTCTGGGACATCTCCAAGCTGGTCATAGCCTCGCACCACAAGCCAGTCCGTATCCAGCTGAAACCCCAAACTAAATTTCCTTCGTGTTCCTAATTTCCCATCGACAAAACCCACAGGGAGGGACTTAAACCCATCATAGACTGATGGGTTTATCACCAGAGGAATGGGTTACTTGCCCAGGGATTCCTCATCCCTACTGACTCCCCCTGCAACACCCCCTTATTGCTGGTGCGCAAACCCTCGGGAGCCTATCACTTAGTCCAGGATCTCTTCCTAATTAACGAGGCGGTTATTCCCATCTACCTGCTGGTTCCCAACCCTCACACTCTTCTTTCTCATATCCCCCCTTCGACCACTCACTTTACTATCCCGGATCTTAAAGCTGCCTTCTTTACAGTGCCCCTCCATCCTGACCCTTATTACCCCTTTGCCTTCACATGGGAAGACCCTACATCCTTCAGGTCTCAACAGCTGACATGGACAGTCGTACCCCAAGGCTTCAGGGATAGTTCCCCCCTCTTTGGGCAAGCCTTGGCACAGAATCTAACTGCTTATGACTTGGGGACAGCACTCTCTTACAGTTGGATAGAAGCCTTCCCTACCTCCAGGGAAACTGCTGACAATGTCGCTTCCGTCCTCATTGAGCAGATCATTCCCAGGTTCAGACTTCCTGCCTCCAACCAGTCAGACAATGGTCCGACCTTCACTTCTCAGGTTGTTCGACTAGTCTCCAAAGGCCTCAACATCACTGGAGGCTCCACATTCCCTACTGAACCCAATCCTTGGGTCAGGTTGAGAGGGCTAATGGCACTTTCAAGGATCATCCCTCTAATCTTACTATTGAACTCAGGCTGTCCTGGCCCAATCTCCTGCCCATTGGCCCTCACCCGAATTCAGGCAGCCTCTAGAACCCCCTCAGGCCTTAGCCTCTTGTAGCTACTCCATGGGTGCCCTTCCTTAATCAACCAAAGCTTTCCAGTCACTTCTCCTCCCCTTGTGTCCTACCTGCCCTATCTCACACTTCTACACAAACTCCTAAGAGAACATGCAGACCAGTGTCTTCCTGTGCCATCTGTTACCTCTATCCCAGCACCACACCAGGATCTGAATTGGACCCTCTTCAACCGGGTGACGCAGTCTTACTTCAACAGCTGCATCCTCAATCATTGGAACCTCGATGGATGGGACCCCCTACAGTTATACTTACTCCCTCAACGGCAGCCAAGTTCCTGGGCCATTCCCCCTGGTGCCATGTCTCCTGCCTTAAGAAAGCACCGTTCCAAATGTCCAGTCCTGGACTTCCACCACGCTGAGGCCCACCAAACTCAAGTTTTCTCTCCAACCCTCTTCTTCTTTTACTAATCCTTAATCTCTCTCAAGCTTCTATCCCAACCCACAGATGGCGCTTCTACACCCAAGCGACACGGAAGCAGGATGGCACCACTTGCTCTCAGTTTACGGGTCAAGGCGATTGCCCTTCCACTGGCTGCAATCGGGCGGTCACCCTTAACATTACTGGGTTCAAGCAGGCCACCTCGTCCCACTTATGTTCAGCAATGCTGTGCTTTATATCAGATCAAACTGAGGAATCTTGTAAGTGCTGGCCTGACACCTATGGTAGGTGCTCTTATAATAATGGGCTTCTGGTGTTGATGATAAGTTTTATTCTTGGGGTTTTGCCAAGCACCCCTCAGCCCCTATCAGATTATGGAAAACTTATATACAACTATTCCTTCAAATTCACATAACCATCCAGGAGCAAGAGAGGGAACTCCAACCCCAGCTGGATGCAGTTGCCCATCCTAAAGCTGACCCTTTCTCTGGATGGCCCTAATATATCAGGGCCTTCAGCTTCTCAATTTATGCAAAGTTAATAACATTTCCAACTGTTTCCTCTGCGCAGGTTTGGATCGTACTCTGTTAACTGCGATTCCCATTGATCTTCTCTCAACACCTCAACTAGACCCTAAGGACCCCCCTCTCCAGCCTTTGAGGAAGTCCCTCTTTTTTGTAATTCATCAGGGAATTTCCCCTACTGCTACACTGCCTCTGGTTCAGCACCCTGTGACCCAATCATTCTTTCAGATTTCTTCCCCAACCTTTGTTCTGCCAGGGTTCTTTTCCTGGTGCAGTGGTACCCTAACAAAAAATCTAAGCCTCAACATGTCCTTTGCTTTTTGTGTTCCTTCCCCCAATTAACTCTGTACAGTGAGGCTGAATTAACATGGCTTGTTACCACCTCCTTTTCCAGGGAAAGATGGGCCGTCTCTCTAGCAATAGGGGTTGGACTCTCCCTGGCCTCCTCACTTGCTGCCTTCAAACCAGGGGCAGGAGGACTTGGTTCTGCAGTAACCGCTACTCAGAAGCTTGAACAACAACTTTAGGAAGGGGCAGAGGCATCGGCCGCCTCTCTCACTTCCCTACAAAGGCAAATAACATCCATTGCCCAAGTTTCATCACAGCACCGTGGAGTCCTCCATCTCCTGACAGCAGACAAAGGAGGAACCTGTCTATTCCTGAAAGAAGAATGCTGCTATTATTTCAATGAAACTGGATTGGTCGAGGGCTGGGGATGTGGCTCAAGTGGTAGCATGCTCGCCTGGCATGCGTGCGGCCCGGGGTTCGATCCTCAGCACCACATACAAACAAAGATGTTGTGTCTGCCGAAAACTAAAAAATAAATATTAAAAATTTCTCTTAAAAAAAAAAAAGAAAGAAAGAAACTGGATTGGTTGAAAAGAATGTCGACACCCTCTGTCGGTTGGGTGAAAGGCTTAAACAGCAACAAACGACCCCTGGCCAGGCTGGCTAAACTCTGCCCTCATTACGTGGCTGACTCCCATTCTCACTCCTATGTTAGTAATAGGATTTCTATTAATGATTGCTCCCTGCCTCCTCAGGTTAGCTTGAGTGAAATTGCCAGAGTGACCTACAACCAGATGCTCCTACACCCCTACAGTAGCCTCCCCAAGGAACCAACACCAGAGCCACCCCCTTCCCCCCACCCCACCCCAAGCCCCTAGCCAGCAAGAAGTAGGCAGATGAAATTTGCCACCCTATATCATCAAAAAGGCCTGAATGTAAAGTCGGTGGCGGTGACTTAGGAACAAAGTACCAAGCAGCCCGTGGGTGCAAAAGAAACATCAGGCACCAATGGAACCACCTGTCAATCAGCAGGGTCTCCTGGCCAATCCTGGATCTCAGCCAGTTCTCCTGACCAACTCCACTGGGACAAGGGATTCTAAAAATCCCTTTTCCTGTCCCAAGCCCTTCCCTTCCTGCCCCATCAAATTCCAGTCCTGTCGAGCCCCATGGGGTTTCCCCTCAGCCCCTCCTCCTGTCCACTCTGTGGGTCTGATGGAGTTCCGCCCGGGAGTGAGTGTTAATAAAGCCTCATTCAGTGGCCTTTTAAAATCTGCCTCCTTTTGGTTGCCGCCACTGCCTAACCTTACAGAAAGTAGAATAGTGGTTATCAGGGGCTGGGAGAAAGGGGAATATGGGAGAGAATTGTTTATAGTTACAGTTTTGCAAGATAAAGAGTTCTGGGGACTGGTTGCACAACAATGTGAATGTAGTTAACACTATTGAACTATGCAGCTAAAAATGGCTGAGATAGTAAATTTTCTGTGTAAATTTTACTACAAAAAAATAAAAAATAAATTTTACTACAATTAAAAGAAATTTTATTTATTTTGCAGTTTTGGCGTATTAAAGAACGCAGTGCCTATGCATTCTAGGCAAGCATTCTATCCCTGAGCTAGATCCCCAGTCCTGTATTTATTTAAACCTTTAGTTAAAATTCTTAGGTTGGAGATTTGACTGAGTGGTAGAGTGCTTGCCTAGCATGTGTGAGGCCTTGGGTTCAATCCCCAAGACAGCAAAAAAAAAAAAAAAAATTTTTTTTTTTTTAGTAGTCAGGTGAGGAGGCACATGTCTATAATCCCACCTAGTCAGGAGGCTGAGGCAGGTGGATCACAAATTTGAGATGAGCCTTGACAATTTAACATGACCCTGCCTCAAAACAAAAATGTAAAAAGGTCTGGGGTATAGCTCAATGGCAGACCACTTGCCTAGGATACAGGAGGCCCTGGATTCAATTCCTTGTACAAAACAAACAAACAAAAAAGTAAATGGATAAATGCAATGTGTTTCTTATAAAAAGAAGATGTACATGATGCCATTCCAGTAACAATATTAATAAAAACCATGAATAGCAAACTTAACATTTACAGTGTTTTTTATACACAAGGCACTGTCCCAAATTTATTACATATTTATATTAGTTATCCACTGCTGCATGAAAATCACTCCCAAAACTTAGTGGCTTAAAACAACAAATATTTATTATCTCACACAGTTTTTGTAAGTCAGGAGTCTGGCTTAGCTGGTGGTTCAGGGTCTCTCAGGAAGATATGATTAAAGTGTTGCCTAGGGCTATAGTCATCCAAAGACTTGATTAGGGCTGGAAAATCTGCTTCCCGGATGGGTTGCTCAGATAGTTATGGTTGTTGACAGGACACCCTTGTTCATCCTCATTTGTGTCTCTCAGTTGGCTGCTTCACTGTCTTCACCACATAGAGGCTGACCTGCTACAGAAAAGAGATTGAAAGAAAGAACCAGATACAAGTCTCAATGCCCTTTATGACCTAATCTTGGAAGTCACAGAACAAGACATCTACAATATTCTATTGGCTATTAAGTTCATCCACATGAAAAGAGAGTCTCCACCCACTTAAAGGAGCTCCCTAAAACTTTTGGACATTTTAAAATAGCCTCATATATTAACACATAAAATCTTTTCTTGGGGGGTGGGCACTGGCGATTGAACCCAGGGGTACCTTACCACTGAGCTATATCTCTGCCCATATTTTTATTTTGAGACAGGGTCTAGATAAGTTGCTGAGGGTCTCATTAAATTGTAGAGGCTTGCCTCAAACTTGTGATCCTCCTGCCTGAGGCTCTAACTCATTAAATCTGTGTGTGTTTGTGTGTGTGTTGCTGGGGATTGAACCTAGGGCCTTGTGCATACAAGGCAAGCACTCTACCAACTGAGCTATATTTCCAGCCTAAATGAATTAAATTTGATGATAATCCTATAGATTGAGTATTATAATTCACCCTCCTGTTACAGATAAGGAAACTGAGGCACACAGAAGCTAAAAGTCACACAGAAGGGACTGAACCAAGATTTAAGCCCTGGCAATATACTTGTGACCACTTCTTAGTCACTCACATCAACCAGTGGGGAAGAAACCAATTGAAGGAAAATATTTAAAAGAAGGAACATTGACAAGACTTGATAACTGGTTGGATGTAGAAAATGACAGCTTAGGATGTCACTGAAGCATAATATTCATATTTCTATAATACCGAGGGACATTTATCAAAAAGGCAAGATGGCATAGGGTCAGAATGTAAGGTTTAGGGAAAGGGTCAGGGCCATCTATGATCAATTTGGCTTCAGGCCCATGATTTTGCCTTAATTTCTTTTTTTTTTTTTTAAGATTTTTTTAGATGTTGATGGACCTTCATTTTATTCATTTATTTATATGCAGTGCTGGGAATTAAATCCAGTGCCTAACACATGCTAGGCAAGCACTTCACCACTGAGCCACAACCCCAGCCTCTCTTTTTTTTTTCTTCTTAATTTCTTGATCTTAAATAAAAAAACTGATAAATATTACCCATCCCTTGGAATGTTTGTGAGGATTGAAGGATTTAACATACAAAGATGCCTAGTTTAGCCTGTTGTGGTGGTGCACACTTGCAATCCCAGCAGCTCAGGAAGCTGAGGCAGGAGAATCGAGAATTCAAAGCCAGCCACAGCAATTTAGGAAGACCCTAAGCAATACAATGACAGCCTGTCTCTAAATAAAATACATAAAAAGGGTTGGAGATACGGCTAAGTGGTCAAGCACCCCTGGGTTCAAACTCCAGTACCAAGAAAAAAAGAAAAAGAAGAAAGAAAGAAAAGCCTGGGCTGGCAAAGAGGATACTAACTAAAAGGGAGCTTTTAAATTTATCTGTTAATGAAACATTCTATTGAATTACAGTGTTTAAGAAAGGATTTTCCTATTGAAATGTTGCCCCTTCCTTGTAATTTGGAGTCGGTGACCCTAACTTTTGAGTGGATATGTGTGTGTGTTTCTGAAAAGGAGGAAATAAGTTCTCACCATTCTGGTCTGGCTTGAAAGACTAAAGGAGCAAGGTTCAACTAATTTAGAAGATAGGAAAGACACTGCTAAGGAATTCAGGCTGAGTATCATGATGTGTGCTCGCTACCTGGACAAAATAACTGAGACTTAGTGCCCAGTAGGGTCACAGGACAAATTACTGGCAGCAATATCATGGGAAGCAAGACTTTCAGGACTAGGGCAGTAGTTCAGTGGTAGAGACTGGCATGCATGAGGTCCTGGATTCTTTGCCCAGCACCCCCAACAAAACCAAGGTTTAGGGAAAGGGGCCTAGTTCCTCATTTGTCATCCTCACTCCACCCCCTTTACTCAGACTCAGCACTACAAAGAACTTGGCAGAGTGTAGGAGAAGGAAGTTGGACTGATGAGTCTTTCAGAAAAGCCTGGAGGCACTGTGAAGACCGAAGGAAAACCCAATCCCCGACTTTTCTGGTCGGAATGAATTTTTTCCTAGGAGGATGTACCCAATGTCCCGGGGTGGAATTCTCCACTGATCCTGCTGATTCTCTGACTTTTTGTGGTCCTGGACAGGAAAGAAATTTGATGGTGTTTCTGGGGGGAAATGGGGGTACAAAGCATCAATAAAGAAATAAAGAAGGCACCTGCACAAACGGTAGGCACTAAAACTTCCTCAAACACTACCCAGATGGCAACTGCCCAGCCACGCCCCCAAAGGTTTCCACTGGGCGCGAGAAAGAGAAACGCTATTTTCCCAAAATGGAACGAGAGCGAGCGAGAAAATGTCTATCACACCTCCGCCCCACCTCCAATAACAGATACCGCCAATCAGCAGCGCGCAGGGCGGGATCAAGGTCAGGGGCGGGGCCTGCAGTTGCCTTAGCAACAACCAGGGAACCCCAGGCGAGCGCGCGGCCGCGTAAGTGTTGTGCCTCAGATCTCTCGCTGTCAGGAAGGTCCTGGGAGATACGCGATCCAGGCCTGGTTGGCGCCCGCGGAGAAAAGGACTGGTCAGGCCCATGCGCTACAATCTTCACTGCTGCCTTCGCCTCCTAACCGTTAAGTGCGCTGAGGTAGGAATTACGCACGCGCCGACCTTAGAGGCGGGGCTACGACGGCCCTGAATTTTAGACGCATGCGCCCCACGGAGCTTAGGGGCCGTTCTGACGCGACTGGGCGGGACTTTGGGGGTAGTGGGCGGAGTCGTTGTCTATGGGGGAGGAGCTTTCCGCAGGACTGATCCATTGAAGGAGGTTTATTTTAGGCGGGGCAGAGATAGGCGCCGGATTCCTAACCCAGGGTGCCCTCTCTATTTTCCTCAGGCTTTCCTGGGAAGGCTGGTTGTTGACTTAGGATCTGTGGTTAAGACCACAGCGCCAGTGGGTTGACAAAACCAGTTTGGAATCCTAGTACTGCTCTATACGTGGTGGATCTCAGTTTCCTAGTCAGATGGAAATAGCACACTTACCTCACAGCTATGATTATATTTTTCTCCTCCCAGGGTCATGGCTGAGGTGCACGTGATTGGGCAGATCGTGGGGGCCACCGGTTTCTCTGAAAGTAGCCTCTTCTGCAAGTGGGGCATCCACACAGGTATTTTTCCCGGGGCCTGGTTCATCTCCCCATCAAAACACCCCACCCCCAGCTTATGGCTCCACACTCCTTTGACTCCCTGAGTCAGTGCCGGCTTCTCTCTTTTCGTTGGCTCTCAGGACTCCTGGTTCAGAACACACTCTGTTTCCAGTCTTATCCCTTTCCATCCTATTTCTGGGGTCTCTGGTTCCCATCCTCTGAGCTTACAGCCCCACGGATGTGGGACTATATGCTTGAACCCTCCATACACACATTTCCATTCCTCCAAAACAGCCGTAACTCTCTCATTTGGATTCCACTCACAATCTTTGGGGTGCCCAGAGACCCCCCATCTTTGATGAACACTCTCTGTTGTTTATTGCAAAGTAAAAGCTTCCATCCTAGATTTACAGAAGAGGGGCCACTCTCTGGTATTCATGATTCTGTGGACCTCATTCTGGCAGTCGTCCAGGTCTGTTCCCACAGGCCCAGGAGGGACCTTGGAGGCCCCCTTTTCCATGCCTCCTATCTGAGGTCCTGTATGTAGTGGTACAGTGTAATGGCTAGGTTCATAGACTGCCAGATCTGGGTTCAAATACTAACTCCCCCAGTTATTATTTGGCAGCCTTTGGACTTGATCTCTCCTGTACCTGTTTCCTCATCTGTAAATGAAGCTAATAGCAGCTAAGAGGCAGCAGAGCTCAGAGATCAGACTTGCTGTGTTCGAAGCCAGTTGTTGCTTATTATGTGATCTTGGGCATTTCTCTTTGCCTTTATTCCCTTGTTGGTACAACGTGAATAATAATACTGAACCTCTGCTGGTTGTTGTCATTACTAAATGATTATCAACGCACTTAAAATAGGACCTGGACTAGGAAGTGTTTGCCTGGCTCGTGTAAGGCTTTAATGTGGTCTTGTTTGTAAAGCACTGTGCCCACAAAATAGATGTGTCTATTGCCATTGTCATCCCTTCAGTCCTGGGTCCTTCCCAATTTTACTGCCAAGTGGTAGCAGTTGAGATTTTCTGGGAAATTGAGATCCTGCAGTTGAGTGGATAAAAGGCAGGATTTGGAATCAGACTTTATTTCCAGTCTGGACCCAACCATTCCTGGGCTTTTTGATCCCAGGCAGATGTTGTCCTTTCTTTCAGATGTTGTCCTTTCTTCAGTTGGGGAGTCAGAAAATAAATAAGCAGATAAAGAAATGGTCACAATGACTACAGATCATTGTAAGTTCGAGGAAAAAAGGAAATGGGATGAATGTGATAGGAGCTAGTTTTAATAGAAAAGTCAGAAAGAGGTCCTCTGTGGAAGTGGCACTTGAGCTGAAGGATGAAAAAAGCTAGGAATGGGGACATCCAGGAGCAGAGCTTTCTAGGGAGAAGAAACAGCTGTTGCAAAGGACTTGAGGCAGAACAGAAATGGGACCAGGGAGGCTGGAGGATGGTGATGGGACGTGAGTTCAGGGAGGTGGGGATGGGTTGCAGCGTAAGGGGCCTTGTGGACCATGGTAGGGAGCCTGTAAACTGGGGCGGATAGGTTGGAGATTGAAGGGCCAAGCAAGATAGCACATTCCTGTAATTCCAGCAGACCAGGATGCTGCAGCAGGAGGATTGCAAGTTCAAAGCCAACCTCAGCAATTTAGTGAGGCCCTAAGCAATTTTGCTATGTTGCCTCAAAAAATAAAAAGGGCTAGGGTGTGGCTCAGTGGCTAAGTGCCCCAGGATTCAATTCCCAATATCCCCCCCCAAAAAAATTCTAAAGGGCAGATTAAATGAATGCATTGTCTGAAGACCTTAGTCTAGTATCTGGCATTTAGTAAGTGCTCAGTGCTCTTGTTCCCCATTCTTATCACTTCTCAGTAGGATCATTGTTAATATGTGTTTTTCATCACGTGCTTCTGGAGGGTACTGTTAGCTGCATCTTTTTTTTTTTTAATTGATTTTTTTAGTTGTAGTTGGACACAATACCCCCATTTTGTTTACTTATTTTTATGTGGTGCTGAGACTCGAACCCAGGGCCTTGTACTTGCTAGGTAAGTACTCTACCACTGAGCCATAACCCCAGCCCAGTTGCATATTAGTTCTTGGACCAGGCCTCTGAATATTGGGTGAAAATAGTAATAAGATGGTATTGTAGCTGAGTGTGGTGGCACATGTCTGTAATCCCAGCAGCTCAGGAGGCTGAGGTAGGAGGATCACAGATTCAAAGTCAGCCTCAGCAACTTAGCAAGATCCTGTCTCAAAATCAAAAATAAAAAGGGTTGGGGATGTGGCTCAGTTGTTAAGCGCCCCCTTGGGTTCAGTCCCTGTACTATATATTGCGATTGGGCTGGGGTATAGCTCAATTTAGCATGCACAAGGATTCAATCTCTAGCACACACACATATACACACACACACACACAAAAAAAAAAAACTCTAAAATGTTGAGACGTTTTATTCCAACACTTATTATGAATCTTCTCAAAATTATGAGGCTGCATTATTATGCATTATTCATTTTGCAGATGGGGAGACTGAGACAGAGTAAAGTAACTTGCCCAAGGTTGCACAGGCAAAAAGAGAAAGTGCCCAGATTTGGATCCAGACATTTTTGCTCCAGAGCCCCACTTTATAACTCCTCCCCTCACCTCCAAATGCTCTTCCTGAAGGCTGTCCCCCACCTCCGTCTACATCTCAGCTCCTCTCCTCGCAGGGGCGGCATGGAAGCTCCTGTCAGGTGTGCGGGAAGGCCAGACACAGGTGGACACCCCTCAGGTAGGGGACATGGCCTATTGGTCTCACCCCATAGACCTGCATTTCGCTACCAAAGGTCTCCAAGGTGAGTACCAGGCCTGGGCCCTGGGACCAGGGACGGAGAGGGGGACTTATAGTACCCAAAGCAGATGAAACTGGGAACACCACTTCTTGTCCTGCTCTCCATATCTTGTGTGTCCCTTTCCTAACCACTGCCCTGAGAGGCTGTGTTAAGGCCTTCCTAGGCCTGTCCTACTGTAGGTCCCAAATATGTGGGATGGAACAGAAGCCAGGGGTGGAGGGGAGATGAGAAAGTGGGGTCAGGATGGGAGGGGTGGTGGCCTTCAAGTAGAGACAATGGAAGAGCCTCCAGTAAGTAGGGAAGCCCGATAAGGGTGTGTGTGCGGTTTATGAGCAGTAGAAAGGGAGGAGGGCCCCCAGTGAGGGGCAGGGACTCCTCAGCTTGAGAACAGAGGTGCTGCTCTAAGGGGAAATGAGTATTCAGGGGAGGAGGTGGATATAAAGCCTTTTCTGGTAGAAAATGCAGTAGATTCCAGAAAATAGCCTGGGGAGAGGTGCTGTATATTTCACAATATCAATACTGTTCACTGCCTGCCTGCCCTGGCCCCAGCCTGTGTTGGTGATGCGAGGGAGACGTCTGTGATCCAGAGAGCCCCACCCCCTGCCCTGTCCTCAGGGGCACCATCCTGTAGGGGAGACCGACCTGCCTCTAGACAGGAACAGCCCAAAGAGGGCAGGGCTAGGATAGGGGATTGTGGGAGACCAGAGGGAGCCCAGAAGAGGTGTTTGAGCCTGTCAGGGAGGTCACAGAGGTCTCCTGAGGGGCTTGAGCTTTGCTGTGAAGGGCCAGAGAAGCTGGCAAGGTGGAAGAGTCCTGCGCACGGATAGCTGTGTATGGAAGGTTCCAAGGGGAGAGTGAGCAGGTATTTTGAGGACTGTGGGTGAGTGGAGGGACAGCAAGGGAAGAGGGGACGGGCCATGCAGGGCCTTGAATGCCAGACTGAGGACTGAGGCCATTCAGAAGTGCTCAGGAGCTAGAGCAGGTGAGGAACAAGTCAGATTTTGCTTTTAAAAGGTCTTTCTGGCTGCCGTATGGGTGTGATTTGGTTCAGCTCTCTAGCCCCCCAGTGCTGGTGTCTTCCTTGCCTTCTCCCTTCTCAGCCCCCCGCCCGTCCATCAGGAAACCCTGCTGGCTCTACCTAATACAGCCTAACATGTACTCTTCTCACCCACTTTCTGCCTAGCATCTGATCTCCATCATCATCTTCACCTTGGTCATTCAGTAACATCTTCACTGTGCTCCCAGCCCCAAGCCCCGAGGTCTATGTCTCCCACCAACCAGCGTAGCCTTGTGATCACCTAAGTCAGGTCACATCCCACTGTTGAGCCTTCTGGTGGCTCCTGACTCACTCCCTTCCCTCCTTTAGGCAATTGCTCAACTGTCATCTTCTTAGTGAAGCTTTCTTGATCCTTTCCTTTCCCAGGCTTTATCCCCATCTCCACCCCACCCAGATTTATTTTTCTCCAGAGCAGTTATCACCATCTGACGTACCCTATAATTTGCTTATTTACTATGTTCAGTTGTCTAGGATGTCAGCCTCAGAGGGCAGAGATTTTTGTCTGCTGTGCTCACCACTGTGTCCCCAGCTCTAAGACAAGACCTAGCACAGAGGAGGGGCTCAGAATACAGGGTGAGATGGCTTGGGTCTCCAAGACTTTGACTACCAGGCTGAGGAGCTGAACTGTATCTGAGGACTCTGGCAAGTGTATGGAAGAGCAGAAAGATGCTTCCAGCTGCCAGAGGGGGGTAGATAAGACAGGGCAAGAATGAAGGCCCTGAGCCCAGAGTGGGAGAACAGGACCGTGCTAAGAGGAGGGAAGGCAGAAGACGTCCAGGACAAGGCCCAAGACACTGACCTGGGACCTAGAGGAGCAGTGGGCTGCCCTGACAGGGAAACTTTGAGGAGGCACTCATAGAGAGGCCATATCTGAAGGACCTTGAATATTGAGGAGGTTGGACTTTGTACTGAGGGCACTGGGGAGCTATGGAAGAGTTTTGAGCAGGGGAGTAACATGGATTTAGAGAGATCCCTTTGGCTGCTGTGTGGCATTGAATTAGGAGTTGGGAACCCAGAGAGGAGGCTAGGGCAAAACCCTGAGGGGAAAGAACTGGGTCCAGAGTCTTCAATGGTATCAGGGAGGTGGGGACCCAGGAGCAGGAAGCTGGGTACTACCATCCCTCGTTTTCTTCTCTCCATCCTATTCTGCAGGTTGGCCCCGACTCCATCTCCAGGTGTGGTCCCAGGACAGCTTTGGCCGCTGCCAGCTGGCAGGCTATGGCTTTTGCCATGTGCCCAGCAGCCCAGGCACCCACCATCTGGAATGCCCCACTTGGCGGCCCCTGGGCAGCTGGAGAGAGCAGCTGGCGAGGGCCTTTGTGGGTGGTGGGCCACAGCTGCTGCATGCAGACACTATCTACAGTGGGGCGGACCGGTATCGTCTGCACACAGCTGCAGGTGGCACTGTGCACCTTGAGATTGGCCTGCTGCTGCGCCACTTTGACCGCTATGGAGTGGAGTGCTGAGGGACCCTGGTCCTCATCCATAGCCCTGGATACCTGGTGAGGGCAGGATGGCTCAGGGGTCAAGATCAGCGGCTCTGGAGACTGTCAGACCTCATTCCAGCCAATGCATGGCCCCGCTTCTGTCCTAGGCCAGTAACTGCACCCTGGAGGCACAGTTTTCCACTCTGTCACACTAGGACAGTATGAGGGCCACAGGGGTAGGGGGGTAAGAGGCTGCTTGGCACATAGGAGGTATTCAATAAAGGCAAGCAGTTCTTACAGGTGTGGTGCCTTCCTGATCGCCTTCATCTGTCACATGTCCTGTTGCCCAGCCTTTCACCGACACCTTCTCTCTTCATGCCTCCATCTCGTGACAGAAGTCAGAAGTCATCTCCTGTCCCAGTTTCTCACTTTCTTCCCCTTCTGGGTCCCCCTCCTCGGATCCCCTCTCCCTTTATCCCTGATCTCCCATTGAGCCCTCCCTGCCAGGTCTGCATTTTCTCGATGACCCAACACCAACCCCCAAAGCCACCGCTAATCTCCGCCACCCGCTCTAGTATGGCTCAGCCGCCAGGAGGCAGCACCCTGTCCACGGGGCGGAGCCGGGGTGCCTGCCCCCTCCCCCCGGGGCTGAAGGGACCCCCCTCGGAGCCCGCCCACGCGAGATGAGGACGGTGGCCCCCCCATGCCCTCCCCCTGGGGGTTGCCCCCGCCCCGCGCGCTTCCTGGGTGGGGCCGGGGCGGCCTCAAAACCCCCGCCGCCCTAGCCGGTCCCCGCCGCCGCCGTCGCCGCCCTTCGCGCCCCGGGCCGTCCCCCTCCCTCCTCCCGCCGCGGATCCGCCAGACAGCGAGGCCCCCGGCCGGGGCAGGGGGACGGCCCCTCCGGGGCACCCCGGGCTCTGAGCCGCCCGCGGAGCCGGCCTCCGCCCGTTGCGGAGGAAGGAGCCGCCGAGCAGCAGCCCGAGGCCCCTGAGTCTGAGACGAGCCGCTGCCACCCCCGCCGCCGCCGCCGCCACCGCGGGGAGGAGGGGGAGGAGGAGCGGGAGGAGGGACGAGCTGGTTGGGAGAAGAGAAAAAAAAGTTTTGAGACTTTTCCGCTGCCGCTGGGAGCCGGAGACGCGGGGACCGCTTGGCGCGGCGCTGCCCCGCGAGGAGGCAAGACCTGGAGACTCCAGACCGCCCCCCGCTCACCGCCCCGGACGCTCGCTCCCTCCCTGCCCCCTACACAGCGTCCCCCCGGCTCCCCCATACCGGACCAGCTCTCAGGAGCCGCAAACCCCGCCTCCCGCGAAGACTTCACCCCAGACCTGGGGCGCACCCCCCTGCACGCCGCCCTTACCCAGCCTGTCTCCCGAGCCACCGCGCATCCTAGGACCCTCTCTCCTCCCGGGGACGGATCTCTCTCAGACCTGCCACAGCTCTCCCATTCAAGACCACCCACCTTCTGGTACCAGATCTCGCCCATCTCGATCTTCTCCCTGGGATATTGAGACAACCCGTGTCAGAGCCTCCCCGAGACCTGTGCTTCTTTCTTCCGGAGGCCTTCAATTTCCTTCCCCCGAGGCCCTTCTACCTTTCTCCGGGAGACCCCCAGACCCTACAGGGGCGGGGGCCCCCATCCCATCTCTGCCCTATTCGCGCTCTCGGCAGGGCCGGGGGGCGCCGCCTCCCCCATGCCGCCCTCCGGGCTGCGGCTCCTGCCGCTGCTGCTACCGCTGCTATGGCTACTAGTGCTGACGCCCGGCCGGCCAGTCGCGGGACTATCCACCTGCAAGACCATCGATATGGAGCTGGTGAAGCGGAAGCGCATCGAGGCCATCCGTGGCCAGATTCTGTCCAAACTACGGCTCGCCAGCCCCCCGAGCCAGGGGGAGGTGCCGCCCGGCCCGCTGCCCGAGGCCGTGCTCGCCTTGTACAACAGCACCCGCGACCGGGTGGCGGGGGAGAGCGCCGAGCCGGAGCCCGAGCCCGAGGCGGACTACTACGCCAAGGAGGTCACCCGCGTGCTAATGGTGGAAAGCACCAACAGTGAGCTCGGAGGGGTGGGGGAGCCGGGACGGGGCCCCCAGGGGGCGCCGGAGTGCAGGGGTCACGGGGAGGAAATTACTGGCAGAGGAAACTGGCTGGAGGAAGGGGACCCCCGGGGTCGCCAAGATTGTGTGTGTGTTGTCCGGTTCCAAGTAGGATGCCGGAGAGCTGCCTCCCTCCCCACTCCTCCAAGGTTTCTGGTCTTGGAGAGAAGGGGAGAGTGAACGAAGTAGACCACTTCCAGAGGGCGACAGGAGTATGTGGGAACGTGGGGGAGAGCCCCCTAGAGAGAAAGAAGCAATTGAGAGATTAAAAAAAAGTACTTCCTCTCCGGGGTGTGCTGGAATACGGGGGTAGTGGGATTCCCTTTGCAAAGAGGATAGCCCGGCTGGGGAGAAACGAAGACCCCAGCATTTGGGAAAGGAGAGGCAGTGGGAAAGCTGCCCTAAAAGCTCTGGGGTCGTTGCGACAGTAAGATTCAAGGCTAGAAAAGTAGGTGTGGAGAACCCCAGAAGTGCCAGAAAAGCGTAGAATAGACTCTCTTTCAGAGGTCGCCAGGAACACGCGGGATTGTGGGAGATCGTGGAGAGAAGTGACCTGGGTTGAGTGTGATAGATGAGGGACGAAAGGGATGCATAGGCGTTGGGAGAAGGAGGCTAGCAGGAGAGCGGGCCGGGGATGCATGGGGAGAAGCCTGGGGTGTTTCGGAAAGGGACAAGAGCCCTAGTGCCGAGCCCAGCAGGGGAAGTGAAATCAGTCACGGGAAGGGGGTCAGAGGAACTCCGCTCATGGGAAGGGGGTTACAAAGAGGGGACACAGGCATGGGAAAGCTGTAACCCACGAGGCGGGCAGAGCAGTTATATGGTGCCATACCATGCTGAGAGCAGCGAATCCCCTCGCTGCGGCAGGGAAAGCAGTAGATTGAGTGAGAAACTGAACCCCTGGGGTAAGTGTGATAAGAGGCGACAGCACTAGAGACCGAGGTGAGAAAATCGAGTTGGTAGGGGTGAGAAAGCCCCACGTGGGTGCCACGCGCGGGGGGAGGAGCCTGCGCTTCCAGGAGTCAGGAGGACCTCGCAGGGCTGAACATTGGCAGCCTGGCCCCCAAAGCCCCAGTTCCTCTTTGGGAGGCTGGGGAAACCCCAGCGTCCGGCCGCCTCGCTCTCCTCCCTTCCCTTTCCTTCCCGTGCCCCGGGGGCGGGGGCGGGGATCGCGCGCAGAGCCCGGGGCGAGACGGGGCAGGTCTGGTCCCCGCCCTCGCGGCTGCGTTGCCTCCCACCCTGCTCATCGCAGCAACGGGCGGGGCTACTCCTGCGCCCGCCCCGTCGGCGCCCACGCGGGGACGCGGGCACCCCGCATGGCCCGGAGCTTTGGGGGCGATCCCCCAGGTTTCCCTTTCTCTCTTGGGCGATGGGCTTTCCAGTCCCCCGCGCATTCCTGCGCCCAGTTTGTGGCTCCAACCAAAAGACGTCCCCTCCTCACCTACTTCTCTGTGTCGCCTTTTTTCGTTATATAGGTTTTACATTGATACCTTCGATTCCTCTTTCTCCCCTGAGTTGTCTCCATCTCTAATTGCTTATCTCTCTTCTCGACCGCGCCTGCTCTCTGGCCCGCGATCTTTCCATCTCTTCCCTCATCCCATTCGTGCCTTTGCCCACATATAGGTCTCGGGGTGTGTCTCTCCATGCATTCCTTCTCTATCTGCTTCCCCACACCTCGTCCCATGACTCTGCTGTCTCTCCCTTTGTGCGGTACCCCACAACCCTTCCTGCCCTTTTCCCCCACCCCTATCTGTTACCCCCTACCAAGGCTCTGCCATTCCCTTCGGGATTGCTGAGTAACCACTGTGCCAAGAATAGGGCTTGTGGGGGCCGGGAGGGCTGGAAGGGGTTTCCTTAGTTCTTCCTCCTCAAATTATCTCCATCATCTTTGCAACCCCACTTGTAGACTTGCAAAAAACCACCCCAGTAGATCCAAGAGTTCACTGCCTGCATTTCATCCCCAACCCAACATTTCCTAGACTAGATGATGCTCTTCTCCCCACTTCAGGCTTTCCCTCCTAAAATGAACTTCATCTTCTCCAGCAGCTGGGAGAAGGAGTTGAGGGAGGAAGCAATTCATAATAATAGTAATAATAATAATGTCACATTGGCAGGAAGACAGCATAATTTAGGGGTTAAAAGAGCGCAGTCCTTAGAACCAGCCTGCCTGAGCTGAATCCCATTCTGCCACTTTCTAGCTGTGGGTCTTTGAATGATTCCTCTCTTTGTGCCGAATTCAGTCTCCATCTATTACACGGATACACAGTGTTGTCATGAGGTTTCAGTGTCTTCTTTGTACTATGGTTTGAACAGCATCTGACAAATAGTGTTTTTGTTTGTTTGTTTAGTACCAGGAATTGAACCCAGAGGCACTTAACCATTAAGCCACATCCCCAGACCTTTTTTTATATTTTATTTAGAGACAGGATCTCACTGAGTTGCTTAGGGCCTCTCTAAGTTGCTGAGGCTGGCTTTGAACTCCTGATCCTCCTGCTTCAGCCTCCTGAGATACTGGGCTTACAGGGTGACCCACTGTGCCTGGCTAAAATTGTGCTCTTCAACATACACATTGTTGAGTGACTGGTGTGCACAGACTCTGTCACATGCTTTACCTGCACCATCTATGATCCTGGCATTGGGTGGTCTCTCACAGATGAAGATCTGGCTCAGGGAGAGGATTTGCTAGTCACAGGTTACACAGTGCTTCCGTCAGGAGAATCTAGGTAGGATGTCAGGGAGTTCAATGAGTTTGCTGTTTTTCAAAGAATAACAGGAAACTGAGGTTCAGAGAGGGGACGTGAACTGCCCAAAGTCACACAGCTGAGAGACAGCAAAGGCACTTTCTGATCCCAGAGCCCATACCTTTGAACCTTTCTCTGCAATTAAATTTGTATTTGAGGTTCCAAGCCCTGGGGAAGCCTAAGCAAGCAGAGCAACCCCTCTTGGTGGCAGCCTATGCTGGGTGGGTGTTCGATAGATGATGCCTGGTGGGAGAGAAGGTGGATAGGTCTTGTCGTACAGAGGAGGAAACAGAGGGGAAAAGCACCCCAACCCAGAACCGTCAGCTGCACACACTTAAACTTGGGGTCTTCCTGCTCCCCTTACTCTGCCAAACCCCTGATATCCTCTGTCTCTCCTCCTGCCTAGAAATCTATGAGAAAACCAAGGACATCTCACACAGCGTGTACATGTTCTTCAACACATCAGAGCTCCGGGAAGCGGTGCCGGACCCTCTATTGCTGTCCCGGGCAGAGCTACGTCTGCAGAGGCTCAAGGTAAAAGCCGAACAGCACGTGGAGCTGTACCAGGTGAGGACATGAGCCTGAGAGGTGGGACGCAGCCTCAGGGGCTGAGCTGTGGCCACTGGGTTGGAGGGAAGGCTGCTAGCTGCAGGGTCTACACAGATGGTCCCTGAATAATGGAGGACCTCAGACCTCTAAATCCTAGGGTTCTTTACCACTTCCATACTCTGAGAGCAGGGTATGGTGGTGCATGCCTATAATCCCAGTGACTTAGGAGACTGAGTCAGGAGGATAGCAAGTTCAAAGCCAGACTCAGCAATTTAGCAAGGCCCTCAGAAACTTAGTGAGACCCTGTCTCTAAATTAGAAAATAAAAAGGGCTGGGGATTGTAGCTCAGTGATTAAAAGCCCCTAGATTCAATCCCTAGTACAAAAAAAAATATCCCAGAGAACTTTCATATTCTTACCCAGGCATAATGAGACATGCCTGTAATCCCAGTGACTTGGGAGTCTAAGGCAGGGAGATCTTAAGTACAAGGCCAGTCTGGCCAATTTGGCAAGACCCTGTCTCAAAATAAAAAGGACCTAGGATGTAGTTCAGCAGTAGAGCACCCAAGGGTGCTATCCCCAGTACCACAAAAACAACAACAAAACCCCACAAACAACATAAAATTTTAAGACTATCCTACAATGTTAAATGCTTAGAAGACTGGAATCTAATTAGGAGTTTGACTGTTTAAGGTAGCTCAGTGGTAGCAGGGCATGGTGGTGCATGCCTGTAATCCCAGGGACTCAGGGGGCTGAGGCAGGAGGATCCCGAGTTCAAAGCCATCCTCAGCAAAAACGAGGCGTTAAGGGGATGTGGCTTAGTGGTCAAGTGCCCCCTGAGTTCAATCCCCAGTCCTCACCTTCCCCCCAAAAATGATAGCCCAGTGGTAGAACACATGTATAGCATGTTGTAAAGCCCTGAGTTCTATCCCCAGCACCACCACCACTGATGATGTGGTTAGCTGCCTATTTTGAACTTCACAGGTAAAGAACATTCCCAGGAAATTCTTTTGGACTGTGCTGCTCTAAAGATGGAGTCTTTAGGAGGATTAGGGCTTCTAGGAGACCTGGAATCTCTAGAAGGTTCTGTGACCTAGAATCCACGTCATATGGAATCTTGTAGAGACTTGTAGAAACTTGAAATGAGAGAATTTTGTCTAATGTTAGCTTCTTGGAGTCTAGAGAATTCAACATCTGCTGTAGCCCCTGATATCATGCATACAGCCCCAGGGGTTGTTCCACAGAGATGCTGGGCACCTGTAACATCTAGGGGTATGACCTGTCAGATCCTTGGGTTGGTAGAACATTAGCGTTGTAGAACTGCTCAGGCTTGGACATTAGCGTTATGTTAGGGTGAACATAATCCCTTAGAAAGTTAACAACTCTCAGAATCCAGGGTGTCCAATTTGTTGACCTGTATGCTCGGCAAAGCCCAGAACTTTAGCAGCAGCTGCAGCAGCAGCTTGACATTGTGGGTTTTCCAAGGTCCCCACAGAGGACACAGGGAACCAGGGACAGAGGCTGAACTGGGTACTTTTACCCAGGCCTGGGGCTCTTTATCTGTCATGGGTGTTGGGGTGGGGGGAGCCTGAAGGCCCCACAGTGTGATGACTTGGGAGGCTTGTGTCTGGGGACTGTCTGGAGGTCTACTTGGGGGAACAGACAAAGTGAGGGTACAGTCAGTGTATGCTGGGGGCGTAGTGGCATCTGCCTACCCCGCCATTCATCACCTTCAGAAATACAGCAACAATTCCTGGCGCTACCTCAGCAACCGGCTGCTGACCCCCAGTAACACGCAGGAGTGGTTGTCCTTTGACGTCACTGGAGTCGTGCGGCAGTGGCTGAGCCAAGGAGGTGAGGATTGCTCTCTGCCCCACCCACCCTGTTTCTTAATGGGGTCAGTCCTGTTGTTTGTTCTAGGGTCACCCTTCCTAGCACCCCACTATCTGACATTTTTGCCAAAGAGCTGAGCTTGACCTTCTTCCCTGACGCACACCTGGGTTTATATATGAATCCATTAATGGTTAATGCATTTCCTGAGCTCTCTCCTCTGCCATACCCTGGGGACACGGCAGTGACCAGAACAGCCCCATTCTTGCCTTCAGGAAGCTCATTATCCATTGGGTGGGTGAATGGAGAACAGGTCTGTGGCCATGTGATGATGCCCAGAGTGGGCAGCCCACAGGAGAGTCCACGGGAGGTGCCTGACCAGTCTGGACTCAGGCAGGGATTTCTGGAAGAGAGGACATTTGAGCTGGTGTCTGAGAGATGAGTAGAGCCAGCCAAGTAAAGAAGAAGGGGCAAGAATACTCTGTGCCAAGGCACTGAGGTCAAGGAGAGCCTGACACATTTGATCTGTCCATAAAAGAATTGTGTCCAGCCATTGCCAGTTGAGTCCACAGTCCCCATATCACCCTTCCTTCTTGACCTCTCATGCTCAGGCATTCATTCAGTAAACGCCAACATGTTTCTGCTCTGTGCCTGGCACAGTACTAACCAAGACTGCCCTGGGTCATGCCTTCATGGGGCCCACCAGGCCCTTCTGGATACCTAGGAGGTCTTGCCAAAGCCCTAGCAGGTGTAATAACCTAGCATGATCAAGGCCAGAAGTGTGAGCACAGGCAGAGTGGTCAGGGCTGGGGTGAGAGCAGTCCTAAGTGCTATGGGAACCCAGAGAAGGTACCCAAGCCCATTTGGGGGTCAGGGAGGGCTTCCTCAGGGGGGGGGTTGTGTTGAGACTCATGGGATACGTAGTAATTTGACAAGATGAATAAAACAGGGACTAGGAAGTAGGGGTGGGCACCAGGAGGAGTGTCCTTGGCTACTGGACAAAGGCCTGGAAGGTTCTGGTCTGTCTTGGTTGATGCTGACTCCCAAACTCCAGCTCAAGGTCAGGCACACAGTAGGAGCTTAGAAAACACCACTGACACATTCATTCAAGAAACATCGCTCACCTGCGTGTGTAAAAGTGCCCAGGCTTAGATTTGCACCACAGCCCTACCTTTTGGCACATGTGTGTCTTGTCTTCTGTTTTGTGTGCCTCAGTGTCCTTGTCTGCAAAATGGGCAGTTTGGGTGAGGACTACCCACCCCCTCATAATGCACATAGAGAATTCAGAACAGGACCTGACTCCTGGTACACAGTAGACACTTGTTTTTTAAATTTTTAATATTTTTTGTTTGTTCCTTTTAGTTATACGTGACAGTAGAATGTATTTTGACACATCCTACATACATGGAGTATAACCCCATTCTCGTGGTTGTATATGATGTGGGGTTACACTGGTCGTGTATTCATATAGGAACATAGGAAAGCTATGTTTGATTCATTCCACTGTCTTTCCCATTCCTATTTGCCCTCCTTTCCCCACCATTCCCCTCTGTCCCAATCCAGTGAACCTACACCTACCCGAGCTTCTGCCTATTGTGAGTCAGCATCTCCATATCAGAGAGAACATTTGGCCTTTGGTTTTGTGGAACTGGCTTATTTCACTTAGCATGATAGTCTCCAGTTCTATCCGTTTACCAGCAAATGCCATACTTTCATTCTTCTTTATGGCTGAGTAATATTTCATTGTGTGTATACACCACTCCGTGTTTATTCTTGTGACCGTGGTCCAGGCTGGTGGACTATAAGAGAAGCAAGGATCCCTGTCCTGGTTCGTCCTACTTTCTGCTGAGAATGATGAGAGAAATAAATAGCCAAACACAAATGTCAGAGAGGGGGGGGATCCTGCTGTGACAAAGGAAAATGATGTCATGGTGGGGGAGGGGTGCACATTCTGGAGGGCCTCTCTGAGGAGGTGACATTTGAGCTGAGCCCTGAAGGAGAATAAGGAGCCAGCAACTCAAAAGACCTGGTGCAAGAGACCTGCAGAGAGAGGGCAGGGCGGGGTGCGTTGGGGGAGGCGGAGGGAGCCCCGGGTTTGCTCCTTCCTGCCTCCTCCTGCAGGGGCTGGGTGAGCCGAGCCCTCAGACTGGCTTCCCTTTCCCCTTCCCACAGAGGAGATAGAGGGCTTTCGTTTCAGCGCCCACTGCTCCTGTGACAGCAAAGACAACGTGCTCCAAGTGGACATAAACGGTGAGTGTGTGTGTGTGTGTGTGAGTGTGTGTGTTTCAGAAAGAGAGAGAGAGAGAGAGAGAGAGAGACCCCTTTTGCCTCCCTGCTCACTGACCGTCCCTCTGAGAATCTCCCAAACCCAAGCAGGGATCGGTCCCAGACGCCGGGGTGACCTGGCTGCCATTCATGACATGAACCGGCCCTTCCTGCTCCTCATGGCCACCCCACTGGAGAGGGCCCAGCACCTGCATAGCTCCCGGCACCGCCGAGCCCTGGACACCAACTACTGCTTCAGGTGACTCCCGCAGCCTTCAGCTGGGGCCTTGTAGGGTGGGGCTTGGCTGCTCTCTGCTGGCCCGTGGACACCTGCCTAGTGCTGTGCTTAGCTGAGCTTCTCCTTGAGCCTGGGGAGCTCTGGGACAAGTTCCTGGTTTTGGAATGCAGGGGTGTGGGAACTGGGAGTCCTATAACGTGGGCGTGAGCTTGTCTTCTTGCTGGCGTGTTGGAATCGGAGGCTGTTAGAATGTTGGACACCAAGAGTTGGATTCAATGTGGGAAGGTTGCCTTGTTGGAGTGCTACGCTGTTGACAGTTGGGGTTCTAGAATGTTGGGATTCTGGCATGCAGAAGTTCAGTGTTAACAATGGAAAGCCAGGGCATGGTACTCAAGGAAAGCTGGAATGTTGGGATCCTAGAACTTGGGAATTTGGAACTGGGAGATTGCTGCTTTGGATTCTGAGTGCACTGCCACCTATCATGTTGGCCGATGGGAATCTTGAAAATTGGGCTCAGGATGGTGGACTCTTGTGTTGAAATGTTAGATGCGCAAATGTTGGAGAAAGCCAGAATATGGGTATCTAGAACACTGGAGCTCCGGGTTGGAATGTTGGGTCTTAGAATGCTGGGATCTTGGAAGGATGGCAGGACCTCCTTGAGTGATGGACTCGGAGCTGTGGAATGTTGGAATGCAGCCTTGAAATATGGAAATTCAAGAACATCACGAGCCTCAAGAGTTGGAAAGTGGGAATCCTAGAAAGTTGGAAATGCTGTCAGAATGTCAGAGTCCTAAGATGCTGGAGTATTGCTGTCTAAGAACGTTGAAGGTGGCATGCCTGTAACCTGCTGGGGAGGCTGAGGGAAGAGGATCCCAAGTTAGAGGCCAACCTTGGCAACTTAGAAAGACCCTGCTCAAAATAAAAAATAAAAAAAGGGCTGGGGATGTGGTTCAGTGGTTGAGCGAACCTGGGTTCAATCCAGGTACTGAAAAAAAAAAAAAAAGTGAATCTGATCCAGACTATACATTCAACTATCAAGTTTCCGAAAATACAGAAACAAAGAAGCATGCTAATCCACACCACAGGGATGCAGTCAGCCCAATTCAGATGGTGGGAAACCTGATCTAGTTTCTCCCACAAATACAATGCAAAGAGGAGAGGGGGACATACATATAAAGAAGTATCTATCCATCCATCTATAAAGAGGGGGGAGAAAGAGATGGTTCTGTAGATTTTTAGAAGAATCCAAAGAGATGCTAGGGGTCGTGGTATGCTTCTGTTTTCCCAAGTACCTGGGAGGCTGAGGCATGAGGACTATAAATTCAAGTCCAGCCTGGGCAACTTAGTGGGACCCTATCTCAGAATTTTAAAAATCATTTAAATAAAAAAATAAAAGCCTGTAATTCCAGTGCCTTGGGAGCTTGAGGCAGGAAGACTGCAAATTTGAGGCAAGCCTAGGCAACTTAGTGAGATCTTGTGTCAAAATAAAAATAAAAAGGACTTGGGATATATCTCAGTGGTAAAGCACCCCTGAGTACAATCTCCAGTTCCTCAATAATAAAATAAATAAGGAAAGGAAGGAAGGAAGAATGAATGAATCTGAAGGTGCACAGAAACTGAGTGCAGTGTGCAGACCTTATTTGAATTTTTATTTATTCAGACTTTCTTTAAAAGAAAGCTGAGGGTGTAACTCAATGGTACAGCATTTGCCTGGGTTTATCCCCAGCATCACCAAAAGAGAGAGAGAGAAAGAGAAAGAGAGAAAGACACACAGACAGTAGGGGAAATGTGAACCTGCATTTTTTGATATTTGATGATATCAATGAATTATTGCTAATTTGTTTACATGGCATTGTGGTTATGTTTTTTTTTTTTTCCCCAGGGCTAGGGATCAGACCCAGAGCCTTGTGCTGGCTAGGCAAGTGCTTTATCACTGAGTTATTTCATGAGCCACTGGTGATGTTTTAAAGTCACCTTCATTTTCTTAGAGATACATATTGAACTTATTTTTTTATGGCAGTCTGAGGTTCAGTCACAAGACCTTACATTGAACTTCTTATGGGTGAAATCACATAGTAGATAGCATGTGCTTCAGAAGAACCCAGTGACAGAGAGGAAGTGGGTTGGGGTAGATATATGATCAGGCTGATGATGAGGCTATGACTTGATGATTGTTGAAGCTGATGATTGTTACCGTGAGGACACAGGATGCCACATGTAGGTTGAACAGCTCTAATTCAAAATCTAGAATCTGAAACTTTGTGAGCATCGACATCATGCTCAGAAAGTTTGGGATTTCAGAGCATTTTGGATTTTGGATTAAAGATGCTTACCTGGTAAAGTCTATGCAAATATCTCCAAATCAACCCCAGGCTGGGGTTGTGGTCAGTGGGAGAGCACTTGCCTAGCATGTGTGAGGCACTGGGTTCAATTTTCAGCATTGCATATAAATAAAGAAAATAAAGGTCTATTGAAAACTAAGAAATATTAAAAAAAGAAAGAAAGAAAGAAAGAAAAACTCTGAGCTGGGTGTGGTGGTACACGCCTGTAATACCAGCGGCTCAGGAGGCTGAGGCAGGAGAATGTCAAGTTCAAAGCCAGACTCAGCAACTTAGGGAGGCCCTAAGCAACTTAGCAAGACCTTGTCTCAAAATAGAAAATATAAAAAGGGCTGGGGCCTGGGGCTCAGTGGCAGAGCACTTGCCTAGCATGTGTGAGGCACTGGGTTCAATCCTTAGCACCACATAAACAAATAAAATAAAGGCCAGCTGTCTACTACTGCAAAAAAAAAAAAAATTTTTTTAAAGGGCTGGGGGGCTGGGGATGTGGCTTAGTGGTTTAGTGCCCCTGGGTTCAATCTCCATTACCTTCCCCGACCAAAAAAAAAAAAAAAGCCACAAAAAAACACTCTGAAATCTGAAACACCTCTATCCCAGCATTTACAATAAGGGATACTCAATTTGTAATGCAATAGTTTGAAATTTTCCATAATAAGATATTGTTCTCAATGTCGGTTCAAACACCACTTTGACCCCCAACAGAAGCCTCCCTCACAGCTGTCTCCAGTAGCTAAGGAGGATGGGAGGTGCAAGGTCTCCTGGGGCTGCAGGTGGATTTCTTTTATGCATTAGGCCCTGCTGGGTCTTATTTGTTTATTTATTTTCTTGTGGGATTGAACCTAGTAGTGCTTAACCACTGAGCCACATCCCCTGGCCCTTTTTATTGTTTATTTTGAGACAGGGTCTCGCTAAGTTATTCAGAGCCTTGCTAAATTGCTGAGGCTGGCTTTGAAGTTAGTTCTTGGGATTATAGGCATACGCCACTGTGCCTGGCTCCTGCAGGGTCATTTTTTTTTTTATTTGTTCTTTTTAGTTATACATGACAATAGAGCATATTTTGACATATTGATACAAACATGGAGTACCTCTTATTCTAATTAGGGTCCCAGTCTTGTGGTTTTACATGATGTGGAGATTCACTGTGGTGCATTTATATATGCACATCAGGAAGTTAAGTCAGATTCCTCTTGCTGAGTCTTTTTTTAATATTTATTTTTTAGTTAGACACAATATCTTTATTTTTATGTGGTGCCAAGAATCAAACCCAGTGCCTCACGCATGCTAGGCAAGCGCGCTACCACTTGAGCCAAATCCCCAGTCCCTTCTCCTGCTGAGTCTTGATAGACTGGACAGAAGAGGTTTACAAAGGCAAGGGCTGTGCGAATCCCAGGCTCAGCACACATTGGGCCGCAGTGTGTCCTGTCCGGGACAGATGAGGAGGAGCCCGCCAGATCACCTGGAGGGCATATTCTCTGCCCCATGGCTTCTGATTGAGAGGGTCTGGGAATTTGTATTTCCCTCAAGTTCCCAGGTGCTGCTGCTGTTGGTGGTCCAGGGACCCCTCATGGGGAACCACTGACTTGGGTGATAGCATCACAGACTGTTCAAAGCCTTGGACTCAGAACCCCAGCCAGAGCTGGGCCGCCAATCAAAGATGATCTGGACCATCTGGAGTCCAGGACTCCCCCTCCAAGACGGTGAAAGCCAGGAGAATTTTCCCCCCAAACAGGTATACACATGCACACATGCGGGCAGATGGTTGAGTGTCAGGAGGCCCCCTGAGTGTTTCGTCCCGCAGGTTAAGCACACCCTGTTTGATCCAAAGGCCCTCATCTCCTTGAACACACAGGAAACTGAGGCCCATCTAAACTGGGGAGAGGTGAGGCTGCATTTGTGAGAACTTTAGTTTCCTAAGTCCTTTCTCAGGGTCCTGTGGCACCTGGAAAGATCCCTTTTTTAAATTTTATTTTTTCAGTTGTTGAATGACCTTTATTTTATTGATTTATATGTGGTGCTGAGAATCAAACCCAGTGCCTCACCTGTGTGAGGCAAGCACTCTACACTGAGCCACACCCCCAGCCCTGGAAAGTCCTTACCCTGCTCCAGGAGTTCCTTGTCACCTCTTCTTCTGCTTGACTGGCCTGATCACCCCAGGAAGATGAGGCCACAGGCTCCACAGGGTCAGCTGGGAACTTGGCCCCACCGACCTAGGGCACGCTGCCTCCCCCCTTCTCTGAGGCTGCTTCTTCATTTCTCAAAGGGGAAGAAGAAAGAGCCTGCCCTGTGGTGTTTTTTTTTTTTTTTTTTTTTTACATATTTATTTATTTAGTTAGTTATTGGCAGACACAACATCTTTGTTGGTATGTGGTGCTGAGGATCGAACCCAGGCCACACGCATGCCAGACGAGCGTGCTACCGCTTGAGCCACATCCCCAGCCCCCCCTGTGGTGTTTTGATATGAATTGATCCATTCTCTTTCAGCTACATTTTGGACAGGTAAATACAGGCAGATAGACCAAACCCAGGAAGATAAAGTGACCCCCCACTCTGACCCTAGCCCTTCTCTAAAGAGGCGGCCACCTTGGCCCTACTGGGTCTCCTTCCAGAGGGAGTCTCTGCCGCACGTATTTACATATATTCACATATTCTTTTTTATTTTGCCCAACTGGTTGTCTTTTGCAGGTTATTTTGATTCTAAAAGTAACAACCTACCTACTGCTGAGGATTTGGGAAATTCAGAAAGATACTACCTGTCACACTAGCACATAAAAAGTCACTGTTTCCAGGTGTGGTGGTGCATGCCTGTAATCCCAGTGGTTTAGGAGGCTGAGGCAGGAGGATCAAAAGTTTGAGATAAATTATAAATTACCAGCCTGGGTAATTTAGTGAGACTGTCAAAATGAAAAAAAAAAGGATTGGGGATGTAGTTCAGTGGCAGAGCACCTCTGGGTTCAATCCCTAATACCACAGAAAAAGAAAGAGAGCAGGTGGCGGGGAGGGAGAGAGGAAGGAAGAAAAAGTTACTACCAGAGTTTGAATATATTTCCTACTAGTCTTTTGGTGCATAGCAGAATTTGGATTTTGCTGTACCTGTACCTTTGAATCATGTTTTTTGCACATGTCATGAACATGGACTGTAAAGTTCTCCTGGCTTCCCATGAGTCAACTTTTGTGGCCAGGCTCCCTGGTCATCTCAGCTGGGGTGCCCAGGGCCGGCACACAGAACACCCCATTCCTCTCAGGCAGAACCTGGGCTGGACAGGAGAGGACTGGCCTTTGGATCTGAGCCTGGACTTCTTGAATTCCAAATGATAGAGGTTAAAATAGCAGTATAAACACTACTGTCCTCCAATGTGCTTTTTAAAAACAGTTGTTCATCAATTAATTTACACATCCAACATTTGCTGAGTGTCTACTGTGTGCTGGGCACTGGCAGGCACTGGGGAGACATTAGGGGAGAAAACAGAATTTCCCACGCTTAGAGGAAGACAGAGGAGCTCTATTAAAATAAAAGGTGATGATGAGTTCTAAGAAGGGAAATATATCAGAGGAAGGGGACAGAGGAAATAGATATTAGGAACTATTTATTTCTCTTACTCTGATTAAAATTGATTTGTTATGGACAGTTTCACATGTTGACAAAGGCAGTGGAGATAATATAATAAAGTTCTGTTAACTCTCATCCAGCTTCAACAATTATCAGGATTTTGTCCCACTTGAAATATGGACATTTTTATATTTTCTTATAATAAGTGCAACATCATATTGCACTGAATGGAATTAATAGTCATTCGGATTGATATTTTGGATAAGATGGCTCAGGCAGGTCTCTCTGAGGAGGTGATATTCATTTGTATAACTGGTATTTATTGAGCACCTGCTGTGTGCCAGGCATTGTGTTGGGAGTCAAGGCTCCCTGAGTGACAGACATTGGAGAAAAGGTTTAAATGAAGTGAAGGAATGATCCAGAGTGGCTATCTGTGGGAAGAACAAGCCAGGCAGAGAAAGTGCAGAGGCCCTGGATAGGACTGTGTTTGAGGAACAGATGGGAAGCCATTGTGGCTAGAGTGACATGAGCATGGGTGACAGTTGAGATCAGCCAGATCCCGTGGCACCTGGGGCTCATGTGAGTACTTGGGCATTTGCCATGGGGATGGATCCAAGTCCAGAGCAAAGGAGCGACATGACAGTCTATAGCATGTGGCCTGGGAAGGCACAGATTTCTGTTTTGTTTGTGTTGTCCCCAGCAGTAGGTCCTAGCCCAGCATGCAGCAGTAGTTCAGTAAATATTTTTTACACAAAAAGAACATATGAGTAGATGTGGGCCACATTCTTTTTTTTTATGTTCCATGTGTGATTGTGCCATGATTTATTTAGCCTTTTCCTGTGGATGTCTATTCAGCTTCTTACAGGCTTATTATGCACACTGCATGCGATAATGTTTTTGATGATGCTCTCATCACAGTGGTTGACTAGAGGGAGTGCTTGAACCGTGCTAGTGATGATCAGCACCCCTACTGTTACTGTTGTGACTACCACAGGGGGTGCAAGGGAGGCGGAGGTGGAGATGGGGCTGGGGAGCAACCTAGGGCCGGCACATGTGCAGGGAGGAGCAGTGTGGCCTGCCTCTGCTCCTGACCTGCGCTCCTTTTGCCTGCAGCTCCACAGAGAAGAACTGCTGCGTGCGGCAGCTATACATTGACTTCCGCAAGGACCTGGGCTGGAAATGGATTCATGAGCCCAAGGGCTACCATGCGAACTTCTGCCTGGGACCCTGCCCTTACATTTGGAGCCTGGACACGCAGTACAGCAAGGTGGGTCTAGCTCACAAGGTTGTGGGGAACAGGGACCAAACAAAAAATTAAGTGAGTTAAATAAGAGAAGAGAGAGACAAGCAAGGATGGATAGCCGGGTGGGTGGCACCCACCTGTAATCCCAGCAACTCCGGGGGCTGAGGCAGGTGGATGGAAAGTTTGAAGCCAGCTTTAGCAACTTAGCAATGTACTAAGTAATTTAGTGAGACCCTGTCTCAAAATAAAAAAAATGAAAAGGGCTGGGGGTGTAGCTCAGCGGTAAAGCACCCTGGGTTTAATCAAGAGACGGAGACAGGGTTTAGGTAGGAGGAATAAAGAGATGAGGAGAGACAGAAGCAGAGATGGATCAGGACAGACGGAGAGAGCTGAAGAGAGACAGACAGGTATGGGGAGACTAGCGGGATGCGGACCGTGAGCAGGGGCGGTGTGAGGGAGGCCACAGCCTTGCCCCCTCCGCCAGTGCTGGCCCAGACCCTGACCTGTCCGGCCGTCCGCAGGTCCTGGCTCTGTACAACCAGCACAACCCAGGCGCATCGGCGTCGCCGTGCTGCGTGCCGCAGGCTCTGGAGCCTCTGCCCATCGTGTACTACGTGGGCCGCAAGCCCAAGGTGGAGCAGCTCTCCAACATGATCGTGCGCTCCTGCAAGTGCAGCTGAGGCCGGGCCCGGCCCCGCCCCGCCCCACCCCGCCCCGGCAGGCCCGGTCCCGCCCCCGCCCCGCCCGCCGCTCCCGGGCTGTATTTAAGGATTTCTGCGCCCCAAGCCCACCTGGGGGGCTCATTAAAGGTGAGAGTGGACAGGTGGTCTCCGTGTCTTTGGGTGCCTAAGTGGATCTCTCTCCTTCACGCTGCGCTCCCTCTCTCTCCGTCTTTCCCCAGAAGACATTCATTTGCCCCTGTCACACAAACACCAAGCGCATGGTGTGTTCCAAGGGCCACCTGTAGGTGCAGGGGACCAGTGGTGAGCCCTGGTTAAAGCTGTTTGTCAAGCACGTTGGGCACTCTTCTAAGTGCCTCACCTTCATGTACTCACGGACTCCCAGGGATTTGATAACACCTATCTTACAAAAGGGAGGAAGCAGAAGCCTGGAGAGGTTAAGGGAGTATTTCCTGCACACCAGGAGCCTAACTTTCTGGGGTGGGGAGACTAGACGGCAAGAAATAATGGTTCAGTGATAAGTAGCATGTGGACAATAAAGCAGGATGGAGTGAGAGAGATGGCTTTGGGGAGGAGGGAGAGCCTCTTGGAGGGAGTGGCATTTGAAACTTGAAGGAAGCCAAGAAGGCAGCCTAGGGGTGGACTTGAGGCAGGGAGTGTTCTCGGTAGAAAGAGGATGAAAAAGCAAAGACCCGGAAGCCATGACCAACTTGGGGCACCATGAGGAAAGAGGCCAGTGTGGTTGGAAGAGGGTGAGCAAGGGAAGGGTGTTGGGAGCTGAGTCAGATTGTAACACTCTGCAGGCCAGAGAGTAACAACAGTTCTACTTGCCAGGTGTGTCATCTCGCCTAACTTCCTGCATTCGCCCTGCAGCCTGACAGCAGGGGTTGGCAAAGTGCAGCCCACAGCCAACTGCAGCTCACTGCCTGTTTTTGTAAAGTTATATTGGACACAGCCACACTCCTTCGACTACATATTGTCTGTGACTGTGGCACTACTTCACAGCAGAGCTGAGTAGAGACCATGCAAAGTCAAAAATATTTACTACCTAGGTTTTTGTTTTTTTCAAGTTGTAGATGAACACAATACCTTTGTTTTATTTATTTATTTTTATGTGGAGCTGAGGACCGAACCCACATAAAAATAAAAAACCCACTTGTGAGAACCTCACAAGTGCTAGGCAAGTGCTCCACCACCGAGCCACAACCCCAGTCTCTACTATCTGATTCTTTATAGAAAAAGCTTGCTGACCCTGCTGTGGAGACCATTTGATCTTCACTTTGCAGATGGGGACACTGCACAGCTAGTAAACAGCAGAGCTGAGAGTTTAGCCTAGGCAGCTTGAGTTGGGGGGCCATATATGCAAGCCCTATGCTCCGATGGCTTCCTGAGTCACATCAGGGGTGTAGGACAGCAGGAACTTGTCCTCTGAGGGAGGTGGGAGCCCCATCAGGGTTCTGAATGGAGGAGGGGCATGAATTGACCTAGAAGCTCGGGGTGGGGAGTACTCTCTGGCTGATGGTTGAGAGTAGAATGAGTGAGGGTAAGGATGATGGAAGAGAGACCTTTCGTCCAGGCAAGAAATGCCTGCCTGAGACAGGGTGGGCTTTCCTCTGCCATCTTGCCTTCTCCATCTGCTGTAGTTGTGTTTGTGAATTTTCTCCTGCTTCCTCTTTCTCTCGCCTCTCAGTTTCCTCTTCCTCCAGAGATTCACTTCCCCCCTCTGTGCCCTGCCCTTCTCAGGCCCAGGGCCCCTTGACTTGCTCCTCTCCCTAGGGATTGTCTGGGGTAGAAGACAGTGGGAGTGCGGTGCTGCCGTGGGCCTAGAGCAGTTGGCAGCACTGTGGCTGAATGTGAGCATCCTGGGCCCTCCTCCTGCCCCAGGTCTGGGAGCTGCACGGGGCCAAGTTGGGATGGGGGGACAGGAGAAGCTCACTGTGCAAGGACATGTTGCCATTGTCACCAGCCTCATGTGTGGAGACACTGCTGAGGCCTGGCCCTGAGTGGCAGAAACACAAAGCAAGGACACAGTGACATGGACTGTAGTCACTGTAGCCCCATAAGGATGTGGTACATATGCTCTCCTACAGAGACTGAAATATAGGCAGTGTCCCACAATCTTACATTCACCTCTCAGAGTTGCAGTGGACACACAGGGGCTCATGCCTGAACCAGGACACATGGAGTGCGACACCTGCAGCAGTCACAGCCCACACATACAGATACAAACAGAGTGTCACCCCATCACATAAACACAGCCCAACCTTGGAGCTTCATTGGGACATGACACAAGCAAAGACTTCAGTAGCAAAACAGTCACACCAATATATTCCATAGGGTCATGGTCACCACCACCACATACCAGACATAGATTCAGACAGTTACAGACACACATCTCAGCATCAGAGCCCTCAGGAAATGGACATCCCCCAGGCAGTTACACAAACATCCTTCCTGGGGTCATGGTCACCCCACATCACACACAGAGGTTTGACATATGTCACAGTCACAGACTGCCAGTGGTCCTACCCACTGTCTTGACATTTCACCGCCATCCCCACTCCCCTGGGGAGTTCCATGTGGTCCACTGATGGCCACGACCCTGTCACACCCAGGGTCCCAGACAGTGCAGCTCCCACACACCCAGACACACCCCCGGGGTCCCCAAGGCCCTCAAGCCCGGCACCGCCTGCGGACAAGCGCTGGCTGCGCGCTGTGGCGGTCGCCCCGCCCGCCGGTGACACACCCCGCCCACCTGCCCCGGGCTGCCGCCGAGCTGGCGCGGGGGAAGGCAAAGTGTGGGCTCAGCACCTTCACCAGCCGCGTGCGCGGCCCGGGCCCTGCCACCCTGGCCCGCTGGGTGGCCCGGCCCAGTCGGGACACGTCTGCGCCGCCCGCACCAACCGCAGGGGCAAGGGCAGGGCCGGGGTTCGGGGCGCTCCGCTGCCTCCCCGCCAGCCCCGCCCGGGACAGCGCGGCCGGCCGTCGGGGGAAGTCGTGGGGGGAGCCTGGGTTCCGGCTGGAGCCCCGGCTTCCCGTCCGGCCGACGGGCAGGAAGCGGCCGCGGGAGGCCAGCTCAGGCCTTCCTGCCGGCTCCCGGGGATGGGGTCGGTATGGGGGAGGAGCGGGGGAGCCCCCTTCCCGCCAGGTCTCTGGGCGTCCCAGTGCTAGGTGTGGCCTGGTTCCAGTAGGAACTCACAGGTGTGTTCAGGCCCCGTGTGTGCACCTGGGGGGGGGGGTCTCCAGCAAGTGTGGTGGCTCTAAGCCGCTGGTCTGGCACCTCTTGGCCTTTGGTGGGTGGTGGTGGCAGCGGGTGCGCCCCAGCACGTGTTCGGCTCCGTGTCTGTGGCTGCGCTGCATTTCTGTTGAGTGTGTCTGCTGGTTCATGTTTCTGCTGGACACGCCGGGGTACTTTCCATGGGCTCCATGTCCTGGCACTGACTGGTGAGTCTGTGTACCAGTGAGTCGCTAGTTTTTTCTTTTTCCCTCCCCCTCAACATCTTCCCGGTTCTCTTGGTGTAAATTTCTATGTTCTTAGTGTAAATTCAACCTGAAATTTGGGTGTTTTCTGCATGCTTATAGGTCTGTGACAAAGATGTTTCCAGGAGGTGTTGTGTATTTGGCTTTTAAAGGAAGTTTTTGGTACACATGTGTGATTGTTGCCAGTGTCTGTGTGTCTGTACATAAGTTGTTTCTTTTTTTTTTTTTTTTTTTTTTTTTTTTGTGATGCTAGGAGTGAAACCCGAGGCCTCGAGCATGTTGGGCAAGTGCTCTACCACTGAGCTCCGCCCCAGCCCTAGTGTGTGATCCGCGTGTGCCTTGCTGGTATTCTGAGGACTTTTGTGTTCTGCAGATGGTGTGTTTCTGTGGTGTTTCCAACACGCCTTCCGTGGCTCTTGCAGTCTGTGTGGGAGGCTGTACTTCCGGACTGTGTGGCTTGTGTGTGTCCATCTCAGGGACTGGTATTTTCAGCCTGTGTGGGCAGCTGCAAGCAGGTGGAGTCTGTATTGGTGTCCCCACCTGTAGGCTGGTGGCTCCAGAGTGTGAGAGCGTTGGGAGATCTCAGCAGGGGTGGATGTGGGTCTGTATTGTGTGCCAGTGTTTTCAAGGAAGGGAGACCTCCTGTCCTGTGAAGCCACTGGCATCATCTGGTTGACCAGTGTCCACCCATTGGCCTTTGTGCTGAGTAAGTGGAGGCTGCGTCTGCGGCGTCCCCTTGCCTGCTGGTGCCACGTTGGCTCAGGGCTGGCGGTGGCAGCGGGCAGGGCAGGGCAGGGGCTGTGGTGGGCACTGGCCCCACGCCCGGCCTTGGTATAAATATCCCCAGGCTGCCTGCGGCTGTGTTTACTCGGCCCCAGCCTCGGGCGGCAGCAGCCCAGCAGGTCTGGGGGTGGGGGTGACCAGGCCACAGCACAGACATTTCCTTCTGGCCAGACAGACCCAAAGCCTTACTGCCCCCTCCAGCCTAGGGGCAAGGTGGTGACCCCTAATTCTGGGCCCACAGCGGAGCTCTGACTTGGACATCCAGTTAGGCTTCCTGGATCTGGGAGACACAGATGGAAATGGGGGCCCAGGGAGGGCTGGGCATGGAGGGACAGGAAAAAATGAGGGTGAAGGCCAGAGGAGGAGGGAGAGAGGGATCGGGAAACAGGGTTAGTGAGACAGTAGCTGAAACCCAGGGGCCCAGGAGAAAAGGACAAATGCAGGAAGAAAAGTGAGAAGGGGGAAAGAAGGAGAAGCAAGGGAAATGGAGGGAGAAGAGGGGCCGGCAGGGGATGGAAAGTCACAGGAAGACGCTGACAGCCAGAGACGCAGAGACCGAATAAGATGGGGGAGGGAGGGAAGCCAAAGATCTGAAGGAAACAAGAGGAGGGCACGGGGCAGGCAGAGACCTCAACAGACAGGAGCCGAGGGAGGGAGAAGCAGGGAGTCGCTTTGGCTCTGGCAGGACACACAGAGGTGTGGACGTGGGGGGTGGGGGTGGCAGCCAGCAGAACCCGGTCAGAGCCAGGACAGACGGGAGACACGGGGTGGGGGCCGGATGCCCACAGAGGGGCTCTTCCCCAGAGGGGCCCTCCCTCCCTGACTCAGCCTCTCCACCCACCCCATCCCCACAACTGGGAGTGAAGAGAGAGGTGCCCACGGTGGGGGCTGCTCCCAGGGGGGTGTCTCTTGCGTCCCTGCCTGATCCTCTGTCTCCACCTCTCTTCCTGTCTGCTCATCTAATCCCCATCCCTGTGACCGGCTCCACCTCTGTCTCAGCTACAGCACTCGTCTCTACCATCTGACTAACGATTCTGACTCAATTGCTGCGCCTCTTGTCGCTCTTACAAAATTACATAACCAATTTACGTATGGCAAAGTATATCACCAACAAATTTAATGATCAAATAGACTAAAGAAAGGCTGACACCTACACCAGGGAAAAGTGCCCATGGAGCACGAACCCAGGAGGCATTCTCATGTCTGGAGCTCCTCTTCCCCAGTGGGGGTCTGGAGTCCAGCCGGCTGGATTACTTTGGGCCCTACTGTTGTATCTCCTCCGGGAGACAGAACTAGTGACACCGACAACAAACACCCTGCACAGGACTGCTGTGCCAACCAGTGACCCTGGCACTGGCTTTTGTGTGGAGATGGCCCCTGTCTGTGAAGGATAGCGCCTGGCTCTTGGGAGGCCCCCTGGTGTCACAGTGTCCAGTCCTCCTCCCACCTCTCTGTCTTGATTGGGTGGCCCCATATCTGACAGGAAGCTGGCAGGATGGTTTCTGGGACCTGGGTTCCCATCTCAGCTCTGCCTCAGAGGCCTGAGTGGCCTTGAAGCATCTGTTCCCGGGCTCCTTGACCAGCTGCAAAAGAGCCAATGTCTGCTTGGAGGCTTCAGCCCAGCATCAGGCACCTGGCGGGGCCTGGCACAGGTCCCGACTGCTTAGCAGCTCTCATTATTTAACAGTTTCTCCATCTGCACATCCACTGCCTCCATTCAGCTCTAACTTTCCATGTCTGGTGCTGATCGTTCTTGACCTAGAGGCCAGGGTCAGGAACCATAGCCCCAGGAGGCGCTTCTGAGGGTCCTTCAAGGCTGGCTAGGGCAGGATGTCACAATTCCTTCTCACAAGTGAAGTGCTCCTGGGCTCAGCCTCATCAACCCTTGGCCTGAGCTACCACCCCCAAAGTGGCCTGTCCTTTCTGTCTGCCGGGGGAGCAAGGGCCGGGTGTGGGGGCATGGGAAGGTGGGATGCCTGGGTTCCCACAGCTATGGCTGAGTCACAGGCGGCCATCTGGCTCCCATTAGCCCAGGGCGGCAGGGGGCTCTGTGGGGCGGGCCCTGTGGCCTGCTGGGGGCAGGGATGCTGCTGGGGCAGGCTGCGTGTGTGGGATGACTCAGGACCCATGATAACAGCCTATGCGTATTTGGGGAGTGTAAACAGGAGAGGGAGAGGGAGGCGGAAGGGAAACTTGTGGCTGGGTGGGAGGGGGTGGGACAGTGGGGTGGGGAGAGTCCCCTTCCCACACCCCAGCTGGCAGGCCCCATGACCCCTAGACCCATCTCTGTGCAGCCCTCTGGGTCCCCCTTGCTCCCAGCCCCTTGCAGATAGGGCTCTGCTGCTCTCTGCAGCCAGGTCTGGCGGTGTGTGTGTGTTTCTGTGTGCACAGGCACAGGGCAGGGTTGGGGGGGGTGACTGAAACCCAGAGAGATAAGGACTGAGACAGAAAGGGACAGAGGCAGCATGAGGCTGAGAGAGAAATGGAATGTACAGGCAGAAAGAACAATGGGCCCAGAGAGAGGCCAGAGGAAAGATGGGAACCTAACAGAAGCAGAGTTGCAGATGCGGCAGAGTTGCAGGGCAGCAGGGTAGAGAGCCAGGAGCCAGAGCAAAGCTGTGTGGGGCCCAGGCACAGCCCCCTCTCCCAGGTTGTTGGGCACTGGAATCACCCTAGCCAGTCCAGCCACCATGGGCCCCACTGGCTGGCCTCAGCCCAGGAGGAACATTTATCCCCTGCTGTGGGGACAGAGCCCAGGGCACAGAGTGGGAGAATGGGGGAGGTAGATACAGTGGCCAGACCTGGGAAGAGGGAGGAAGGGGGCAGTGATAGAGGGCGAGAGACAGGAACAGACAGAAGGGACAGGAGAGAGTGGGGAACGAAGAAGGGTAGGGAACTCCAGAAAGAGGTAGTGGTGTTGTTTGATGTGACACCAGACCCCGTGGGGCAGGGGTGCCGCACTGCCGTCCCTCTGGAGAAAGAGTCACTGAGCCGGCCTGTAATCAGCTGCCTTGTTGGGGCTGGGAAGGGTGGGCAGCTGGCTTTGGGGTGGTAGCCATCAGTCCCCATCCAGTTCTGGGCTGGGAGCATCCTCAGGCTCTTCCTCATCAAAGTACCTCTCTTCCTCATCCCGTGCCACAATGTCCAAGTTGTCAAAGTCAGGGTTGTCATCCACTGTGCTGCAGGGGAAGAAGGCTGTCAGGGAGCCCTGAGAGACTCAGGTCAAGGACATGGGAACCCTCCCTCCCCAAAGGTCAAAGGTCATATGATGGCAGCTGCCAGTTAGAACCAGCACTCAGAGGGGGATGCTATGTCTGTCCAGACTTAAAAGGGAAGGAAACATTTTCCAAGTTAAAGACTCTACATAAAAACTCTCATTTCTTTTAAAAGCTGGAAGATGTGGCCACACAGGCCCACATGACTGAGGCAGGCGCTGGATGGCTGTGCTTAGACACCTCGACTATCCTCACCAGGGTGTGTTACTGCTCTCTAGTCTGGTAGAGGCCAGGGATGAAGCTAAACATCCTACCGCACAGGACAGACCACCCCCCATGACAAAGAACTGCCTGGCCCGAAGGTGGCAGGGGTGCCCAGGTGGAGAAGCCCTCTCCTAAGCCACTAAGCCACTAAGTCATCCTCTCGGGCGTAGCTCTAACCCTCACAGGGCTCCTCATCACATTCACTGGGTCACCCAGCCCTGTTCCATCTGAGCTCTCTCCCTCATCTTTCCAAAGCCACATCCACCCTGCTGCTCCTCAGACAAGGCAGGGCCCTGGCACCTGCTGCCCAGCCCCGCTCCTTCCCCGGGTATTTCTGTTTCTTACCCTCACCTCCTGAGGCCCCATGCTCAGAGGTCAGCTCCTCAGGCCCCTCCCCGGCCTCCAGGCTGTGCTTCCTTCTGCTCCTTACCCTGCTTTGCTTTGCTTCAAAGTCTCATCCCAGTGTCTTTAAGCCCCTGGTGGGGACAATAAGATGTCAGTGCCTGGGGAGGCAAAACTGTCCAATGTCTGCCTTAGATCATGGGCTGCGTGTCATCACATCTTCCAGCTCTATGAAAAGCCAGGCCAGTCTTTGTCTCCCTCACTGGAGGGGACCCTTTCCAGTGGGGAAACCTTTTGCTAGTTTGTTCCCTGCGCGCACCCAGAGCCTGCACACAGCAGACCCTCGGCATCTGCTGAGTGAACGACCAGGTGAGGGGCCTGTGTAGGCTGCTAAGCACATGGCGGGGCTCCACTCCCTACTTCCTCAAGGGCACCTGGCTTGGGAGCAGCTGTGGTGCCAGCTCACTGACCAGCCTCCCTCCCCCACCCCCCACAGGGGCTTGGCACTCTGCTCACCACTTCTTGGGTGGGAACTGAGGCTCTGCTGCAGCTGGCAGCAGATCCGCCACATTTGATTTCAGAGTGAGGGGATCCAACAATGGGTCAGCCATGCTCCAGTCCCCAGGTGCTGACCATGTGCTGAGCCTTGAGGTAATGGTGATCATGGTTCCCATGTTAACAGTGAGCCCATCAAAGGCCCGTTTGCAGCCCCAGAGTTCATATGTCATTGAGGCTGGATATGAAACAAGAGGGCTCGCGGCTGCCAGACTGTTCAGAACCATGAGGAACGCTGGCTTAGAGGACAAATCATTTACCACTGACTCTGATGCACCAGTTTCCTGTATCCTTATCCTGATGGCAAAATCCTTTTCCTAAGTAGGTGGCCTATGTGTCCTCCCCAACCCCTGGGGCTATACTGTAGGGGCAACCACCACAGGCCCCTCCAGTTGGGGCAGTAACCGTGCCAGGGGTTAATTTCCTGCAGCGAGGAAGTGTGGGGTCCTGGGGAGGCGGCCGAGTTTCCTGGACACATTGGGAAGATTGGGGTAGTGGTTTCCTGCCAGGTCATAGTCACTTGCCAAAATAGAAATGTTTTAATGTTTTATCAATAGTGAGCTACAATGTCAGGCCAGCTCATTCCCTTCCTTACAGATGAGGGGACTGAGAAAGACCAGGCTAGTCCAGGGTCACTTAGCTACTGCCTCTGGTTGATCTGAAACCACAGGGCTGTCTGACCTCTGGGCCCACATCCTGAAACCATTCCAGGGCTCTCATGCAAAACAAAGAGAGGTGCATAGGGCCTGTTTGTGGCCCAGGGTCATGGGGTGCCAGGCTGGGGGAAGGGAAGGCAGGGCCCAGGAGCACCTGTAGTCAAAGTCCCCATCCTTGCCGTCTAGGAAGCGCTGGTGCATCCGGCTGGTGAACTCCTCCCGTAGGATCAGCCTCTCCTCCGAGTCTGGTACCCAGGTTTCTGAGTCTTTGCCTGCTCTCTGATCTGTGGAGGGAGACACCATGGGAGGGTGGCCTGAACATGTTCACACAGAGCTGTTGCTTCTGTGCTCTGCCCAGCTAGTCCCAGTGGCACAGAGAACACAGAGGTGACTGAGATAGCCTGGGTCCCCCAGGGGTACACATCAAACACATGACAATGCAGTGCTCTGAAAGCTATATATCAGGGTCAGGACAGACCTGAGGGTGGAGAAGGAAGACCTTCTTAGGAGAGGGACAGGCATGATCAAAAGCTTGGAGTGAGGGATCCTTCAAAAATGCAGGGTAGGGAGGCTAGATGCTAGAGATGGGAAGGGCGGGCAGGGTAACACGTCAGGCTGGGCAGACTGAGGCCTGGCTCAGGGCAGGTGTCCAAACACTGGGGTCTCCTTGCTGTTGGCCCTCACCTTCTTCATCACTATCTTCCTCCTCTTCTTCCTCCTCCAGGCAGGCCTCCTCCTCCTCTTGCTGCTGGAGCAGCCGCTGCTGCAGCTCTCGCTCCTGGTAAGACTGGAGCAGTAAGTCGGAGAGTGGGCAGGCAGGTGTGCCGGGGGAGCCAGGTCTGGGGTGCTGGGGCGCTGGGGCGCGGGCACTGAGCTCCTCCTGGGTGAGGTACTGCCCAATGTACTGCTCATAGAGCAGGGGTGCCCGGAACCGCATCTGCTCATCACTGAAGTACTCACCCCCTGCAAAGATGAGAGCCAGAGTGGGTGTGTCTGTAGTAGATTTGTGGTCGTGCTTGTAGGAAGATGTGTACACACACAAGTCTGTGTGTGTGTGCGCGCGCGCGCATAGGCGCGCATGCTGCACGCTCACATGCAGATGCAGAGGGAAATATGCAGATATGTGAGGCTATGGACATGAATACTCATGCTTGTGCTGAGTATGCACACAATCAGGCCTGCATCTACCTGTGTATTCATGTGTCTGCACGTGTGTGTGTGTGAGGGTGGGCCTAGAACATGTGGGTTTTTGAGGTGCTAGTTGTACAACTGTGCCTAGACAGGATTCAAAAGCTGCTGCCCATGGATGCACGTGTATGGTCACATGTGTACAAACATCCCACTATGTGCCTTAGCATACTGTCCACTGGTACCTATGTCTGGGATTGGCACATAGGACAACACAAACCAGCTGCATGTGCATCGTACGCCTGTTTGCTGAGCCTGCTTGGCTGTCTGGGTACAAGCCTGGACAAGCCTACACTGCTGGGCACGTATGTGTATCCATCCATGTGGATCTGGGTATGTGTGCTAGCACAATTGGGTCAGGGGAGGCGTTTGTCTGTGGGAGTGCCTGGCAGGGGCAGGGCTGTCCTGTAGTGGCAGCAAGCACCAGATCTAACCTCTTCCCAGGGTGTTCCTTTGTGCAGCTTCCCTCTCAGGTGGGCCTGGTTTCTTCACCCAGGTCCTTTGCATCTCCTGGCTGTCTCTTCCTGAAGGAGTGGCATTGTCCCTCAGCTAACAGTTAAACCTGACCACAGCTCTTCCCACCTATGGGTCCTAGTTCTGACTCCAGAGTCCAGGGGCCCAGAATCCACCCAGAATCCTGACCTGTACAGCATTGTGGTCTGTGATTGTCCCTATCTTGCTCAGCATTCCCAGTCCTGCCATCTCCTCATCCCTATCTATTTCTAGCATCTTCCACCAGATTTTTTTAAAAAAATATTTTATTAGTTGTCAATAGACCTTTATTTATTTGTATGTGGTGCTGAGGATCAAACCCAGTGCCTCACACATGCTAGGTGAGCACTCTACCACTGAGCCACAACCCCAGCCCTGCATCTACCTGTGTAGATTCTCTTTTTATCCCTCCTCCCTAGCTCAGACTGTCTCCCTCTTTCACTCTAGGTCCCTTGGTCTCTCTCCTTCTCCTGCTTTTTCCCTGCCTCTCAGTTTCCACATTTAACCCCACCTCCTTCCTTCATCCATTCATCCTCCTCCTTTCTTCATTCTTATTCACCTGTTCGTCCCTGTATTACTCTTCCTGTATCAATCTCTCTACAACTTGGGTCTTCCTCCTAATCAGAACTTAACTCACTTTCTACTTCATTTGCCCTTGTCTTTTAACTGGTTCTGGGAGTCTAGGTCACAAGATACTTTTAATTATGTCCTGGTCAAAAAGGCACCAATTGTTGGCAGTGGTGCATGCCTATAATCTCAATGGCTTGGGGGGCTGAGGCAAGTTCAAAGCTAGCCTTGGCAACTTAGCGAGACCCTGTCTCAAAAAATAAAAATAAAAAAAGGGCTGGGGATGTGGCTGAGTGGTCAAATGCCCCTGTGTTCAATCTCTAGTATGAAAAGAAAAGAAAGAGGGCTGGGGATGTGGCTCAAGCGGTAATGCGCTCGCCTGGCATGCGCAGGGCTGCTGGGTTCGATCATCAGCACCACATAAAATAAAATAAAGAATATTTTCCTTCATGGTTCTCATGTGTTTTTTTCAAGAAGACCCTTTTGTCCCCAAAGTCATAAATATTCCCTTTGGTTTCCACTGGTGCCTTTGGGCATAGGGTGAGTTTTTCCTTAGGGACAACCAATGATGACAATGCAATGATCATACAGTTGTGTGTCATCTACTAAATTCTGTCATCTACTAAATTCTAAGTTCACTGTGTCCCCCATTTTCTTGCTCAGGCTCCTGTCCTCTCTGCCTTACGTTATGACAGACATTTCTCTGTCTCTCCCTGTGTCCCCCAGGATCTTTGTCTGTGCTCCTGCTCTCCTGCCCTTATTTCTCCCTCCCTCCATCTCCACTTCCCATCTCCACCCCTCACCCATCAGCGCCCCACACCTTGGATGAGCTCACGCAGTGCAGCATAGCGCCGGTTACGCAGGCGGGTACGCAGGGTGCGTGGCCTAGCAGTGCCCTGCCGGGCCACCTCAGCACAGTAGAAGTCAGCACGGTGGTCACCACGCAGGTGGCCAAAGCAGGCCAGGTGCTCCTCTCTGAGGCTTGTGCGGAAGCGCTCCAGGAACACTAGTGGCTTCTCATGGTACAGCTGGCCCAGGATGGCCACCTTCTCACGTTCTGTCAAGTCGGGCTCACCCTGCTGCTGGCTGCACACAGGCAGGCGGCTGGCAGCCACAGCATGCAGCATGGCGCTGACTGCTGCATTCTCAGCCCCGGGGATGTCACTGTCCAGGGCCCCTGGTGGGCTCTCTGCTGCTTCCACCTTGCCTTCTGGTCTAGATGGGACTGGTGTCCAGGCCAGCTCACCCCAGTGCCCAGGTTTGGGCTCCGTGTGGCCTGTGAGGAGATGGGAGACTCGTTAGTTCAGGGATGGAGTGCGGAAAGGGGCAGAGGGAGGGTTTGGTGCTCACTTACTCAGTTCCTATTTATGATGAACCTATTATATTCTAGGCCCTAGAGAGACCACAGTGAGCAAGAGGTTGACATTTTAGTGGGAACACAGACAATTAACATAATTACTGAAAAAAATGTAGTGTTAGGTGTTTCCCTGGCTATGCAGAAAAATAAAGAAGGAAGGGGGAAGTTAATGGAGGATGGCTGCAATTTTAACGGAAGGGTCACAGAAGACTGCAAAAAAGTGACATCAGAGCAGAGACCTGAGGTAAGGAGTCACTTAGTCGTGAGACTTCTGGGGTAAGAAAGTTCCAGGCCAAGGAAATTGCCCATGCAAAGACCTTGAGGCCTGACTTACTGATTTACTCAATTCTTTGTCACTTGTTCATAAAATTATGAATACATTTAGTAACTTGTTCACCTACCCATTCATTCATTTTCTTATGCATTCACACATTCATGTTTTAGCAACTCTACATCTGTGAGGCCCTGAGTTCAACAATGCAGAGGATTCACAGGAGGAATCCAGTCTAACTCCTGCCCTCATGGAGCACCCAGTCTTATGTAGGAGACAATCAAGATCAAACATAGTACACATGCTGGGTGTGGTGGTCCACACCTGAAATCCCAGTTATTTGGGAGGCTGTGGCTAGAGAATTGCAACTTCAAGGTCAGCCTGGGCAATTTAGCAAGACCCTTAAAATAAAATGACAAGAGCTGGGGATGTAGCTTGGTGGCACAGCACCCCTGAATTCAATCCTCAGTATTAAAAAAAAAAAGAAAAAAGAAAAGTGGGGGGGGGGGTGGAAAGGAAGAAGAAAGCTGGACACTGGGGAAACTCTGGTAAGAGCTATTTCCTAAGTGTGGTGGGAGCTGCAGCAAGACTACAACAAGCAGGGATACGTCAAAATAAGAAGTGGAGACAACTCTTTCAACTCTTTTAAGTAGCTTGCCTGGGATGGGGAGGACACAGGGGATGGTGGTTGCAGGTTTCTTGGGTGTCAACTGAGCAAGAGAAGACAGCTAGAGCAGGGGATGTGGAGGACGGGGAGGGAAAGTAGGGGAGGGCTGGGAAGATGCTCATTAGGCTGAGAGCACAGGCCATGGAACCGAAAGGCTAGAAGGTGAGGGAGGCGTCCAGGATAAGGTCCAGGGCTCTGGATTAGGGATGGCCAAATCATCCCTAAGACAGGGACATGGACAAGAAACAGGTCTGGCACATGGAAGTTATGATGCGCCCAGGGGATGTTTAAGGGAGGTATCTAAGACTGCTGGGACCCAGGTTTCCAGACACCTCAGAGGAGAAGTGCTGGGCTGGAGGCAGAGTTGTGGGTGTCCTCAGAGTCAAGATAGGAAGTGGGGGTAGGAGAGAGTATGTGAGCGATGACAGGGAAGAGAGGCCAGGAAGAAGGACTGAGTCGATGGGATGAGACTATAACTGTGAAAGTCAAAAACTGGCTTCCCCAGGGCCGGGACTTTGGCTTAGTTGGTAGAGTACTTGCCTCGCATGCACAAGGCCCTGAGTTCAGTCCCCAGCAGTGTGTGCAAGTGCGTGCGCGCATACACACACCCACATACCCACACACTCACAAAGAAAAAAAAAAGACAAAAACACTGGCTTCCCCAAAGAGCTGTATCTTTATTTCTGGAACCTGACCAGTGCCTTTAATATGGAGGAAAAAAATGGCGGGGGGGGGGGAGGGTGTGTGGGGGGGTTCTTCACAGACATAAGTAAATTAAGGCCCTTGAGATGGAGAAATTTTTCTGGAGTATGTATCCAGGTGTGTCCTAAACATAATTACAAGAGTCCTATAAGAGAGGTTGAAGAAGATCTGACACAGAGCAAAACGCAGTGTAAAGGAAGAAGCAGAGACTGAAGTGATGTGGCCACACGCCAGGAATCACAGAAGCCATCAGTGGCTGGGAAGAGGCAAGAAACAGCCCAGAGCCTGTGAGGGGACCCTATGACACCTTGGTTTCAGTCCAGTGATACTGATTTTAGACTTCTGGCCTTCAGAACAGTGAGAAAATAAATTTCTGTTATTGAAGACACTGAGTTTATGGCAATTTGTTTTAGGAGCCACAATAAACTAAGGCAAAGGCTCAGAAGCAGCAACCTGAGAGGAAGAAAGTCCGAGTGCGGTGGGGGTACACATAAAAGAATGGAGGAGCCAATAGCATGAATCCTCCAAGTAATCGAGTAAGGAAGAAATTGGATGCAGTGACTGTTTAAACTGTATAGGGACAAGTCACTGGGGAACCTTAATCAGAGCAATTTGGGAGAGTAAAGCCAGACTACAGTGGATAGGAAGTAAGGGAATGGAGGCAAATGTACATGACTCTGGAGAAGATAGACGGTGTCTGGAAGGCAGCATGGGGCCAAAGGAAAGATTTTCTTTTTAGGTTAGAAAAAATATTTTTATAGACTGGGCATGTAGCTCAGTGATAGAGTGTGTGCTTGGCAAAAGCCTGTGGTTATCAATCCTCAGCGCCAACAAATAAAAAGATTTTTTAAAAACCCTAAAATTTTGTTATGAAAAATTTCAAACACAAAATTAGAGTACACTGACACCCCTCCCCCTACATTCATATAGCCACCATTCACTTCAACAATCACCAGTTCTTAACCAGAACCAATTTCAACCAATTTCCCAACTACCCCTCACTCCACATCAGATTGTCTGAAGAAATGGACGACTTTTATGATGAGCAAGACAAAAGCATTTTAGATTCTAAGGGGAACGTACCAGAAGAAGTAAAAGACACTAAGATGCAAGGGAGAGAGAGACACGAGCGAGCAAAGAAATGCAGTAAGAACTTTGAAGAGGCAGACTAGATTATGGCCTTGGCAGAAAGGGGTTAGAATGAAATGGGGCTGTTAGTCTCGGGTAAATAGTTTGTTTTGAGACCGGCGGAAAGTTAACGTGGGCCAAGAGAAAGCTGTTTGGCCCAGGGAAGGTAACTGTGGGAAGACTGGCTGAGGGCAGGGGAGAGGTTTTTGATAAGGAAAACGGGTTGGCCTGGAGCGTGGAAGGGGATGAACTAGGAAGAGATTAATTTCGGAGAAGAATGGAGAGAAAGGAAGTCAACCGCAACAGGAGCGAGGAAAATCTGCAAAATGATGGACCGGACAGGTAAGGTGGAGGGCAGGTGTTCCCCTATAAAGAGTCCTCCTTCGCGTTCCCACGGAATCATTTCCTTGTGACACCGCAACTGCATTCCTCGCAACTGCAGTCTCCGCGTGGCAAGTACCTTACCTTCATCGGGTTCCTTTGTCGCCACCTCCGCCGCCACAGCCTCCATCCAGAGTCTCTCCGATTTAACCGCCGCCGCAGTCTCCGCACACCAATCTCAATCCCACGTACTCAGAGACACTTCCGGCAGTGCACTGTACAATGGCCGGGTGTTCCTACGCGTCCGGGTACCGAAGTTCCGGCTCGAAGGAGGATCTTCCTCTGCGCATGCGTCTGCCTTGGTCCCGCCGTCTGTAGCCAGGAAGGAAAGGGGCGCAGGGTTGAAAGGGCGTTCAGCTTCTCGTGTCTGAAACTGGAAAATCTGGAGGAACCCTAACCATGGTTGATTTGTTCATTGCTGTGACTCTTAACTCCTGGCGTATTTATATTTGGGATGAATGGTTGGGCGACCACCCTCCAGGACCTGGAGCTGTTACAGTAATTTTTTTTTTTTTTTTTTAAAAAGAGTTTGTGCTTTTTTAGACCCGTTTCTTCACCACCTCATGGAATATTTCTAAGTCTTGACTTATTTATCATCACACCCACTCCCTGGCTAGCATGAGATGGGTGGTGAGGTGGGGGATAAAATTGCCCCTCTGTACTTCCAGAACCTGGAGGAACTCTGCAGATGTGAAGGAAGAACAACGGTGGGCCTGATTTGCCCTAGGGGTTGGGAAGGGACTATTAATATTTAGGGGGTCTCTTACCAGCAGACAGGCATGTTACTAGTGACCACCACGAGTGGCCTGGGGGTCTGAGGAAGTCATCCTCCCCAGGCTGGCTCAGAGGTGGCTTCTTTCTGAGAGGGAGGCAGACAAGGCTGAGACCTGAAGGATCAGGAATGCAAGTTTAGAAGGGTCTCAGGCAGGGTGGCTGGCCTGGTTAGTTCTTGTTGCTGTAAATACTTCAGTATGGTCGAAGAATATGAAAGGGGTTCCAACTCTGACATTAGAAAATTTGAGAAATTTTAAACTTCTTTTTGGAAGGGGGGCCAGTACTGGGATTGCACCTAATACCCTACCACTAAGTTATATCCTCAGCCCTTTTATTAACTTTTTTTTTTTTTGGTAGTGTGGATTTAAACCTAGGGGCACTTTACCATCGAGTTTCATCTCCAGTCCTTTTTGAGACAGGGTCTTGCTATGCTGCTGAGGCTGGCCTTGAACTTGCAATTCTGCCTCAGCCTTATGAATTGCTGGAATTACAGGCTTGCACAACTGTGTCCAGCTAGTGTCATGAATCCTCAATACACATTTTCCCAAGGTAGAGTCTCATGGCATTTTGTATAGGTTCCAAAGGAATTTATAATTCCCCAGAATGAATCGCTGAAGTTCAAAAGGGAAGCTGAAAGAGCTGAAGCCATTAAGGTCACCAGGTGCCAGGCCACATGGGGCCTGAATAAACTGTATTAAGCAACTTGAGCTCCTTTAACCTGCAAGGATCGGAGAAGGGGATAAGGGTAAGGGACTGCAGAGATCTGTAAGCTGGTATCATAATCCAGAGACTGGCTGAGACCAAACAAGAGGAAGAACTTCCTAGTTTGCATTCTCTCAGGACCTGGGAGATGTGGAAGACAGACCTTGAGGTCCCTTTTTGCCACACCCCATAGGCAGGAACAACACAGATGTATCACCAAGGGAGGCCAGCAGAGGGTGCTGTTGCCTAGCACAAGCATCTGTCACGAAGGGGACTTCCCAGCTAAGGGGACCCAGAGCAGTGAAGGGATCACTCTAGCTAGGGTCCCTTTTAGCTGCCAACAGTAGCCCCTTCTCATGTTTAGATGCCCCATTTTAGACCTCAAGACTAGTCAGCCTCCCCTCTCCCTTGTTTTTATAGGCAACACAGCCTTCAAAAGGCTTGGAGCTCTAGTGAGGATAGCTGGGCTGAGCCCGCCACTCCTGTGCTCTGGCACTCTCCCCCGTAACATGCAAGGAACACATTATGTATTGAAAGAATGGAGAAACGAAAATGGAAAGGACAATAGTTAGGGAGATGCAACCCCAAAGTTCACCCCCATTAATTCCCCTTCCTCCAGAAAGGGAGAGCCATCCCCTCACACCAACCCAGGATTTCATCAACCACTGTGCTGTCACTGGCAATACTGCAGTGGGAGCTCTGTGAGGAGTCAGAGATGCACTGGCCATGCTGTACCCCTAGCTTTGCAGGATGGTTGAGGGACAGAATAGATTCCCATTATATACTGGCTGAGAAATGAAATTCTTGGAATTAGCTTGGACCACAAGAAACAGGCAGGGCCAACAGAAGGCAACACACACACACACACACACACACACACCAGACTTGAGGAGTCTGGTCAACCAATATCCAGTGACAGCCCTGAACAAACCAATCCTGTTCTCTCTCACCAGTCTTGCCTGTCCCTCTGGACCTGTTCCACACCTTCTAATAAAATACTCCCATGAGGATTTGGGATTATGAGAAGTTTTGAGAACCACTTTTAAAAGAGCTACTGAAATCTTGGAATAAAGGGATATACTTAGCACCAAAATCCAGGCCAGGCAGAGGAATCCCTCAATGTTTAATGGATAAGTAAATAATTTCCCCTTGAAAAAGCCTCCCCACCCCAATTAAAGGTCAACTGCAGTAACACTTCAGGGTTTTGATCCTGCTTCCTTCCTGCTAGGAGGTGCCATGTCATTTATTGAAGGAAAACAAAACAAACAAAACAAAACAAAACAGGGCAAACACATTTCTTAATAAGTGCAGTTTGTTAAAATCCTGTTAAAACATGGGTAAAGGGGAAGTAAGAATAATCAAAGTATATCACTGTAGGAAAAACTTGAGGTCTGGCACCTGGGAGGGCATTGGAGAGGAGGCTGTGGGGGAAACTTCATATTCTGAAGGGAAAGAACCCCCCACTTCCCTTCACCCTCTCACCCGCTTAATCCCACCAGAAACTACCAAGACGCCCAGAATAAAAGGTTTCAAGTTCAATAGTCACACTCTCTCCAAATACAAAAAGCAGTTACAATTCAACTGAACACAGAAGCTTGTGTGCAAAGTTACGGGGAACTGAGACATCATATAAAAAGTTAGGTTAAAGATGATTCTGTGGTTTTTTTTTGTTTGTGTGTTTTGTTTTGTTTCGAGGGTGTGGCTCTTCCTCGGTCACCTGAACTCAGCAAAGAAATGGTTATTTTGATGAAGTATCAACGGCCGACCCACAGTAAAAACAGACAAATTCTAAAAATTAAAAAAAAAGCATAATTACCAAAAAAATATGTTGCTGCTTCCTCCCTCCACATTTGCTTTTTAAACTTTTTTTTTTTTTAAGTTTTTGATTTTTTTTTTTTTTTTTTTAATCCTGAAAAGTAGACAGTAAAACAGCTCCTGGAAGAATTTACAACCAACTGCATGAGGGTCTGGGAAGCTGAGGGGCTGGAGCAGGGCTGGGAGGAACAAACAGGAAGGGGTCTTCCCCTTAGTCACTGTGGCCTCACTGATGACCAAGGGAAAGAGGGATTTTCAGTCAAAAAGGGGCAAGGAGGAAAAGGAAGAGGTGGGAGATGGAGGGGACAAACAAAATAAAAGGTCACTGTTGCCTGTTTGAATCCAGAGAAAAATGCCTTGCCTGTGGGGGAGAAGACCCCTCCCCCAAAGGAGAGGCAGTGGGCTGGAGGGAGGCAGCTCTGGGATGACCCCATCCCCAGCACCACAGGACCCGGTGGGGGTAGAGGAGGGGCCAGAGAAGGGGCCGAGGCAGGCGCTGGTGCAGGAAGCCGGCAGTGGCCCCGGGAGCCTCCAGACACACTGGCTACTGTGTGCTTGTGCCACCCTGTGTGCTGCCGGAGTAGCTCCCGTAGTCGTAGTTCCCATAGTATGGCGGCCACTGGCCCTGGTTCTGATAGTACTGGTTCCACTGCTGGGCATACTGGAGAGAGAGACCAAGATCACCAATTTGTCCTTCATCCACTCTACATTTTGCTCCTCCCCTGGCCAACCCTTGCCTAGGTCAGTGATAGCCAGCAACACGTGGGACCCCTGACAGAATCAAGGCACCTTGGGAAGACAAACAGCTGACCTGATGCCACATGGGTGGAAATTTAAGAACCGAAGCCCAGGTCTCCTGGCTTGTCAACCCAGTGTCTTTTCAAATGTAGCTAAATATCATATTTAAAAAAAACAGGTATGATGGCCTAAGCACCAACTTGAGGCAGGACTTGGAGCCCCCTAGCCATGGTGCTGAAGCAAGATTTGGAAGCCCTGCTCTGCCAGCCCTTCCCTTTTGTTTGCTGCACCATGGACAGAGTAGGACACCATTTATTTAGAAACCAGTGCAGACATGTTCACCAAATAGACTGGCTGAACCACATGACTGCCAGTTAATTTCAGGGATAAGCAGGGGCTATAATCTTGAAAAACATCCCCAGGAGGGGCCCATGGAACCCTCTCCATCCCATTGGAGCCTGACTGGTACCTACCTGCTGATACTGGTTATAGCTGGGCTGAGGGTAGGTCTGTGCGGTGGGCGGTGGTGGCGGAGTATAGGGGGCCGGGTTGTAGCCACCGTAGCTTCCATAGTTGTAGGCAGGTGGTGGCGGAGGTGGAGGTGGTGGGGCTGTATAGCCCTGGCTATAACCTCCCTGGTTGTAGGGTGGCTGGCTGTAACTCGGCTGGAAAATAAGAGAAAAAGACCGAATTCTATGAAGCAGCCAGTTCACAGCTGGGATTGACAAAGGGCTTTTGTAAGCAGTGAGGCCCACAAAGGCACTTCCCTGGTGGAGGCTATTTAGGACTGAGAAGGTGAATAAGCTCTGACATGGTAGGACAGGTTAGGATGAAGCGCCAGTCCTAGGGCTGTATTTGGGACTCTTAATTCCAGCTTTGAGATCCTGGGTGAGTAAGGCACACGGCATTTCTTGAAATCCCAGTTTTGTTTTGTGTAAAATGAGAATCACAACAGAACTACTCCTTCAGATTGTCTTGCTGAATGTATTCAACATGTTGGTCATGTGATAAATGGTAGTTGTTATTCAAAGATCTGAGAAAAACAGTAGTGACAATTACTGTTTCTCATGTATAAGCTACACCATTAATTCCTTTAATCTTCAAGTCAACTCTGATGTGAAATGGAAGCCAAGGCTCAAGAAGGTAAAATCACTGATCCAAGGTTAAATAGCTGAAGGACTGACTCCAGGTTTACCTAGTCCCAGAGCCTCAACCACTAAGCTACGGTACCCTCTCTCTTACAACAAACCTTGGAAATGAGTTCTACTAATACCTATACTCCTTTATGGGAAAATAAGGCTCAGGCAGATGAAGCCAATTGTCCAGGGACATAAAACCAGGTCATTATGGGGCTGGGGTTTGAACTTATGCCTGACCAACTCCTATCCTAGGAAATGTTCTAACTAGACTGGAACTGGGAAACACTCATCT